GATTATGTAATAGAATAGATTGCTGGCAAACATGCTTCGCACAGGACAGCTTATTGCAATACTAATCCAAATAAGCCTTAGTTTCTTCGGTTTCTTGTTTTCGAGGAAATGCAGAATAGAATCGTTTGGTATCTACTTGGTAGGTTTCAATGAAGGCTTTGAAGATCTCCTCCATGTATTTCTATGAAAAATGATAATATTTACATATTGATAGTTAACACAAGGCAGTTTGGAGATGTAATCAAAGCAGGTCTCACATTCAAGACTAATCATCAACAATAGTTTGAGGATGAGTAAACATTGATTATCCAAATTCTTAGTTGTTCTATTAGAACAGAACTGATCAAAGAGACTATTTTACCATCCCAATGGACTCGAAAATGTCCAATAATCTTCCTCTAGGCTTGTCAATCCATAAAGACCGAATTGTGGATACTCAACGAATTAATTATCATACACTTTGGCTGATTCCTTCTATTTAGATGAAGGGATTCCCACTAACCATTCTAATCGCTCAACCTGAAGATTATCCTTAATCAATAAGAAGGGTTTGGCTATTTAGAGGTAGTTTTTGAATTCATCAGAATCACCACCTCCAAGTCCTCTCATAATGCAGCCAGTTATTATTTCTGAGAAGTACCTGTTATTGTATGCAAATTTCAGAATGATTGGTGTCAGTTCCTCAATTTTAGCACTCTTCAGAGCCTTGTCATAGAACTTGGGTGAGTAGAGCAATTTCTTCTCTTGAAGAGTGAGTTGATGATTTTGTTAAAGGAGAGTGCTTATAATTTGCATAGGAATCTAGCAATTGATAGGGAAGTATGCATTTCCCATTTAAGTTTTCTTCTCATACAACTACAATGGACTGCTCTTGTCAAGGATGAAATCAATCATGTACAGAATCATATCCTTTTCCAAACAATATTGCACTTAGAGTTTGCCTTCTTAAAGAAAGTCCAACCAGAATTGGAAATACTAATCAAATCGAGTCCAATTCTTGGGTACTTGATCTTAGAGCATTAAGAACAATTAATTCAAACCCTCTCCTATTTTCTCTGTGATTTCCCCTTGAATTTGAATTGCTTGATTGAACAAAGTAGACAACAATTTGCCAAAGTATTTCCTAGTCCTGGATTCTGGACAAACGAGTAGTAGATCCTATACTTTAGTTTATTTGCCAAAGTAGATCAAATCAAGATAATTGCTATTTGGATATTATTAGATTAATTGTAGGATCTTTGTGTTGAATTGTTCTGAAATTGAGTTATCATAAGAACGAGCCAATAGATCATAGTTGAATCGAATGAGAATTTCTATTATCACATTTGCATTGTCATTATTCACAAAATCACTCAAGTCTAAAATAAACTTCATAAATTCTGTATTGAAAAGATTCCTTTCTAATAAAAACTATTAGTTATCACTATTCACTTTTTTATGATATTGAGTTGGTATATGTTATTTGAATGAATTGTAATCCACTAATAACTCATTATTAGGTTGTATAGTGTAATTGTCAAATTTGGACAATGACTTTTGTAATTCTTCTTCGGAGTTGAATTCCAATTTGATTTTGTCCTTTTATACCTTTTCATAGATTAACATATAGGCACTTTAGGAGTTCTCTCTGAAACCATTGCCCCAAACATCGTTGTCATTGTATTCTAGATTTGATTAACCTCCAAAACATTCATTCTCCATTTATTTCAATTTAAATTCCTTTATTTTATGATCATTGAATTCCAACCATTAATCTTGATTTTTTATATCAATATAACTAAAATAATGTCCGACATCTGCAGTTCCCAAATGAACTACGATACCAACCAATTTATATTGTGTACATTGATCTTAATTAATTGTGTATTGAGCTAAATCCAAATTTATAGGGAATTCCAAACGAGAATTGATTTTTTCATTCATAAATGTATCTAAATTGAACACGATTCTTTATAAATGCACTATTAAAACATTTGGCAATTAAGCTAACAACTACCTCTTATTCACATCAACCTTCTGATTGCAACTTTCGCATTTGAAATCTGAGATGATTTCCCCCTATACAAACTTATCGAAACATTCCTAAAGATTTTTGAGGTTCTTAATAGGAACTGATAAATTATAAAAGATTTCATCCTTGTTTTTTACGGATTTGCAATTCTAACATTCAATTTATGTACAAGTTTTGCCTCCAAAGACTCCATCCAATATATTCTTATACACAGTGTTCTTAAGGAGATTCTCCAATTTATCAAATATCATATTCAAAAATTCTTAAGCATCCTATTAAATAAAGATGTTCACTGGTTCTCCTGCATAATCCTTGAATGCTGCACAGAACTCCTAAGGATTATAATCAACGCGATCAGATAACTCTAAATAACTAAACATCTATTATAATTGATGAAGGACATTGTCATCAAATTGAAATCCAGTTTTGCTTTACTACATGTCAGGTTCTTGGCCATCATCAGCTTACAAGATACCATATCTAAAAGGAAGAGTCATGTAAAATTGTTGGAGCATAGCATTCATATAACAAATGCATCTAAGATTTCTTATTCCAGAATAACCAAACGAACTTCTCATGTCACTTGAAGGAATATAATTCCATCTATTTAGAACTGGAATCTTCTAGCTCAACTATTGGAGATTCAACAGAATGTTCTCACAATTACTCTATTAATTTGATAATTGATAGAGCAACTTAAATGCAGCTTGTCTACTCTCATTTGATTTGCACTTTATTTCCTTCTCATCCGAGAGACTAAACAAGCAATCGTTGAATATGATGTCATGAATTGGTTGTTTTATAAATTTGTGCAATTTTGTTAACAAATTCAATAGACCAATAAGGATTTTATCAACAGCTGTAGACTTTTATCTGGTCTCTATACTTTTATGATTAATCAGACCATCAAGCACTTATTGTGTCAATTATTGATAATCAATGAACTGTGAAGAGTCTTCACTCTCAAAGGCACTGTCGATCAATTGACTTAATAATTCGTAATATTAGGATGAATTGGCTTGTTGATTTTACATGGAAATCAATTGTTACAGTATAATTTTGGTTGGTTGATTGTTTCGCTTCTGACTTTCATGACAAAGCACTAGTATTGCTCTACTAAATAAATTACGGACACTATCAGATTTATCAGTGAAGATTCCACTAAAGAAGATATTAATGAATTCAACATTCTCTATGCTATTTGTGAGTAATTCTTAATTATGTAATAAGATTACAATGATTACTATAACACTATGTTCAATGATCTGTCGATCCTCCTGTTCCAATTCATTACTCTTAAGTAATTCTTAAATTAAGTTTATTAAGACACTAATGAATTTCTCGATCTTCTCAGTTATACTATCACCAAGACGACTCTCCTTCAATTTTTGCACCAGTAATTTGAACTCCTCAGGATCCTCAGATTATCTAATATCGAGTAACACTTGATCCAAAGGTTTGATAATTTGAATACCCCTTGACGCCTTATACAAATTAGGCACATTAGTGGCACAAGCAGCAATCACATAGTTTTAGAATGTTTTTAAAAGGAATGACAGGATTTCTTTTTCAATTTGAGGCAGAGTACTCACACTCCTGCCTTAATATTATTTAAAGAATTGTAATAACTTATCGAATCCACCAAGTTGTAAAAACTTACTCATCCATTTATCCTTCAACACCAGAATCTCTTGATCATCTATCAATGCTTATAAATTATTCGAGTCATATTGATTCATCAGGAACTCAATGATGTATAGACTGTAAAGTAATCTGTAATGACTGCTAACTAGGATTTGATCCCAGTCAGTAGGCTATTAGATATTCTCAAAGGTGAGCATCTACTTGATCAATTAAGGGGAGGGGGGCAACCTTCTCAATAAATACCAAGTTTTCTCTTAAACTTCATTACTAGAATTCTGTAAAAGTTCAAAGAGCAAATCCAAATACCTTTGATTCTACACAATTTATCCTCTGGGTAATAGCTGAGCATTGACTTAGGGTAGGGGTACTCTATCTCCTCTGATTAGATCATTTCTATAATGCAAGGTTTGGAGATTGAGCCAGACTGTTGATTTCTTGGTTCTTGCAGAATCAGTGTAAAAGTCTAAGAAATCACTCAAAGTCAGAATGGAATCTTTGTCCTTATCATATTATTCGAATGTTCTTTAGATATTGGCATCATCAATACTACAAGGATTACCTGTGCAACCAGTAACAAATCGAGTGCAATCTTCTTTACTCATTTTCCCCTCAGAGGAATATTCACTAAAGATCTCTCCAAATACTTATTTTGCTCCCTCTGATAACACGTCTCCATCCAATAGATTAGCCTCTTGTATTTCTTTAACTTACTTTCTAAAGACCATGATGATTTCCCCTTTTTTAAGTCTCAAATCTTTGATCATTTTGCCATTTTCGGTAAACTTAATTTCACCTTTCAAACTATTCAAACCAATGGAATCCCATTGTTATTTGATGACTTTGCTTATTGCCAATCTCAACTCAATAATAGTTTGGTTATCATTTATCTTAATAGTAAACTTCTTTTAATTTCCATGCTCATATGATATCTAGATTTACAATTCTTCTCCTTAGGACAAAGCATTCAAACTCTTCAGGTTGCCTACTCCATTCACTTCACTTTAGTCTATGAATCCCTCCAATACTAATAAGCATCTATGTAATTTTTGATTGTTGTTTCTATTCTCTTGTAATTTATTGAATAAAACGTCTAATGTACTTTCAAATGAAAGATAAAAATCAATTGCTGATTGAGAGACCTTCTCATTCTCTGTTTCCAGAATCATTTACCACAATACATCCAGACCAAAGCCATTGTCTTCCTATTTATTTATTGCTGTCATAACTGTCTTAAAACAATTAAATCCTTCTTCAGTCAATTGAATTAGGTCGTTAGTCATTTTCTCATAGAAAAAGGATTTCAAATCTTAGAGAGGTACCATCGAAGTCAATTGCGATTGTCCATCTTAAGTTGACAAAGCACTAAACCACTTATACACCAGATCTTTCTCCTGCTGACTTGATGATTAACAAACCAATTGTTCCCAAATACTTGAGATGATATTAAATGTCAATCTATATTCATAAGTACTGATATTTTAATAGAAGAATTGGATGAACTGCATTCGAATCTTGATTTCATCCAAATAATCCTTTTACTTCTTCAATTCAGGAATAGATTTGATGATCTCCTCAACTATTTTGAATTTGCTTTCCAAGTCTGTCAATGCCACATTTCTAGTATATTATTCCCAAGCCTCTGGCTGAATGTTCAATTTCTCTATCAATTTGATCAACACTTTCAAACCAACATTAACTTGTTCTCCATTCACAATACTCTCTCCTATCATACTGATCTAGGTCCCTTTGTGAGGTCTCATTTCGTATTGTGTGACTTAATCAATATAATAGGATATGTATTGTTCCAACATTGTCTGATTCAATTACCCACTCTTCAACACTGTCCAATAGTAATTGCAACATTTCTAGATGTATTCATCCTTATATCTATAATTCATCTTAATGATGTCAAGTAACAATTCCAAATCATCTTTTGTGACATCTTTGGGATCCTTACTGCAAACAGCATCAGTCAAGAAATCTAGCCACTCCTTCTCTAGCGAATTTGAAACATCTTTAAATAATTTAAAGATAGCTAATTTGTGTTCATACTCAGCTTTCTCTAAACTATACCAGATATCTTTAAAACTGTTAATACTGATCATTTTTTCTTCTATCAAAAACTTAAAGAATTCAGCACTTCTCTATACTAAATGAGAATTCCCAGATCCAACGTAAAGACTCTCAAATATCTTTTTTTCATTCAACCACTCTAATATCATTTGAATGGCAGCCTGTTTCTACCACTCCTACATCCCATATTGATTGTATTGATCTTTTGTCTTCTTTATCAACTCCTAAATTGCCTTCAAGCCTTGAATCTTCCTCTCTAAGAAATCACTGGTAAAACATTTATACGCTATATCCAAATCCAATCTGTCAATCATTTCTTATCTCTTTTGCAATGCGAACACTCTCTTCAATAAATTGCTTAATGATTGTAAAATATCAGTTATCTTCTGAGTTGAGAAGTTCCTCAAATTGTTATCGGCTGATTATAAAATATTATTTTAGACTGCCTCAAATAATTACGGGATATAGGTTTGAACAAATTCTCTGTTCAACATTTCTTAGAAATTATTCAATAATACTATGTAACTATGCAGGAAATCAATAGTGCATTTATTCAGAATTTAATCCATTATGTACTGAAATAATCCAGCGCGGCCAAATTCATTGATCATTTCACAAATAACAATTGATCTTCTAGCCTATTTGGTCTAAAATCTAGGGACAGCATAATCAGTGTTGGGATAGAGGAAATCATTGCAATCATGGATGATCTCCTCTTGACAATGAGGATTAGATGGCTATCCTCTTGAAAATGCATTTCTTTTCTGAATTCTTGGACTCACTGCTTTGATCCTTTCATCGTATTATTGATTCCAACCAAAGTACCTCCTGTTTAAGGAGTCATACTAATTGCCTTTCTCATCATACACCCTAAATCCAACCACATACTCCTTATCCTCTTCATTGAAAGCAGTTACAATAGTAGCATTCTACCACACACGATTATCGAAGCAATCTATTACATCGCCTGCAGTAAGAGAATGTCTCCATTGCCATTCATCATCTGTCACCTTACTCTTATATGGTGCCAGATCCATCGAATAACGAGCAATCTTTCTCTTCTCTTCATTTTCATACCATTTGACCCACACATATTTCTCATTAATCTTCACGATATTTGCTCTACACCATCCAATCACATTGCCTTTCTCGTCCTCATATAATGCATCAACATCTTAACCTTCTTCCAGATTTGCACAAAATTCCTATTAAGTGAATTCCAGATGGGAAAACTAAAAATCTTTTGGATTTGATTACCTGGTCTTCATCCATCTAGACTAACTCATGACATTTGTAGAATTGCTTTTCTGGATCTATGGTTAGACGAAGTGTTTCCCAAGCCTTCAATTGATCCCGATTATTTAAACACACCTTCACTATGTGCATCAAGATTTTATTCGCAGACTATCCATAATAAGATGATACTTACTTTCCAATACATTGTGTATTGTCTGAATTCGATTACGTTCTTTGCACATTGATACAATAAATCCAATCCCCACAGGGTGTTGGATTTGTTGCCACACAATCTCCAAATCTTATTAAGACCTATTGCTACCACATTCAACTTACTCTTATTAACACTGCCCAATTCTCTTAATGGCTTCCTTTAACTCTTCTGTGTTCATTTAATTAAATATCACCGATTATAATACATAATACACACAAATAAATAGGTGTGTATCATTAGAAATCTAATAAAAATCAAAGACTTTTAAACAAACAAATCATCGTCATATAAGTATATTCTAGATCATGAAGAATTCTTATTTTATTCTAATTTTTAATCTTCATTTCGTACATTACTTACATGATCATTATTAATTTAATTTCATATCAAATAACCATTTAAATTATTCACTTCTTTAGAAAATACTCTCGATTCCCACCCTCCTCTCTTCGCATTTAGACACTCTCCCCATTTATCTGCTACCAACACTAAAGTTTTCTTAAATAAACTGATGATATAGAACATAAAATATTAATTTAAATATGGGAATCTGTTCAGCTAAACATTAACATAACCTAAAAATCACAGAACAGAATGAACAACAAGCTAAATAATCCCCTCCAAATGAATAGTCACTGGATATTCAAAGACTAGTTAAATCTGAAAAAACCATTAAATGCATCAAACCAACGGCCTCCTCTCCAAAGTAAATATTGTCTAAGTTTGCTGCTACACCCTCTACTCGTCAACCCAAGCGTATGTTTTGGGCTGATTAGATCGTTGAAAATTCAGGTTTGGGTGGAACTCTCAAAACTTGGGTATCAATAAAACATACCCAATTTTCGAAACACTACACGATGCTAAACAAAGATCAATTTCACTATAGATTAAAATAGAATGACCAAATTGTCGTCGTCTAACATAATCTCAGTGGGAGAATAATGGTGGCTGAAATGATTAGAAAAACAGAACAAGGAGATTAACTCATGGAATCCATAATCTAAACCTAACTAGTATTTAGTTTATCCTAATATAGAACCATCCTAATTTAATAAGAATTTTCGAAATATTTTAGGATAGTAATAATTATCAAATAATACATGATTTCTGCAACGGGGCGATATTATCCTAAAACCTGCATAATTCAGTCTACACTCAATAATAAGCAGCCCTGATTTTGAAATAAATCATAGAAGTCGTCAAACACCTCCACCAAAAAGAAGTAAATCACGGTGCATTAACATTGGCTTCCTTCCAAAGGTGCAATTAATCAAATTCGAACTACATTAAATTAGTCGATTTTAAACCTATTTACTTAAAATCCTATATTTCAGAAAAACAAATCTTTTAATACATGGCACCTGAAGCTATAAAATTTCCTGACCTTTTCACTCGAGAAAGAGATGTTTGGAGTATCGGAGTTATTCTCTTCTAAATGTTGTCTGGCCAATTCCCATTCTAAGGTAACAACAAAGAAGAGGTATTTGAGGAGATACGAAAATATTCACTACAAGAGAATTTAGAAACCAAATGTTTACCAGCTGAATCGGTGAATTTTATTAAAGGATTCCTCTAAATTAATCCTTCAAAAAGAATTAAATTAACTGAAGCATTAAATGATCATTGGCTAAAACACTTTATAGAGAATCAGCATGAAGAATAGAAATAAATAGTCTAACAATTAGAAAACAATCATCCTTTGAATTTTCTATAGTGCTGTTTCTTGCAGTTTATGATTTCAACCTTTTCAGCTGATTAGGAGCAATTCTTTTATCAACTTTTTGGATAATTTGATGTGAATCATGATGGCAAAATCAGCAAATAAGATCTCACCACTGCGTATATCAAGCATTTCAGTAGTCCTCAAGAGGTTAAGGAACATGTGGATAAAGTCTTCAAGTGGATTGATATTAATAAAAACGGGGAAATCGACTTTTAAGAATTTTTGATTGGAGTAATAAATAAAGAGACATTAATCACGGAAGACAATTTAAAAGAAGCTTTCAAACTACTTTCAGATGTAGAAGGATTCATTTCGTTATCCAAAATGTGCTCTTTGTATCATAATAAAAAACAATAGTTGAAATAATAATTTTCTGCCTATGAAAATAATTAAGTAAGTATTATAGTCACTTATTTTAGATAAATTTCAAGCAGTTTCAACAATTGATGTTTGATGCGCTCTGATAATTCTATCTGTATTTCTATATTTATTATATACTATTGTATTAATTATTTTAATAATATGGAGAAATTAAAACAGTATAGAGAGAGCAATTTAGATTAAGAATTTAATGGCTACAATGAATGTGAAAGAATAGTACTAAATAATATGAAAGGCAATTTCAGTGATTTATGTCTCAGTATTTAATAATCCTTAGACAATGACAAATAGAGATACATATCTCAATTTTCTATGGTCAAAGTACTATTTATTTGATTTGCTTTAGCTGTGTTTTAGACTTACTCTAAAAAAGAATGAAGAATTCCTATTTGCTCATTTCTAAAATATAGTCCTACCTTCAATTAGAAGCTACATATTCAATAATTAAAATTATTCCAAAGAGCTTGAACCAAAAGCATAATAATTTATTCTATCTTCTGTTATTTTATGTAAAGAGTTGCTTAGTTTTTGGGCTCATGCATATCCGCAAACATCAGATTACTCGACTTCTAAATTTTTGAGTGAGTACTAAATATATAAAAAATAACAAAAAGAAAATGCAATTGTTATAACTAAAAAGAATCAATATACTTACCTTAAACAAAATTTTTATGTAGATAAGAATTACAAATTTATTAAGGATAAATGGAAGAGATAAAATTTAGTCTCAGACTTTGTGTCTGATGAGGAACCAGAGACTTAATCTAATTCTAATGATAATAAAGTAAATAACACTTTTTAAAAGGAAATTCATTAAGATAATAAGCCATAAATTATAAATAATGATTAAGTAATATAAGATCATTAACTAGAGGCTGAAAATAAATAGGAGGGTAAATAAATATTGGATAATCTTAACAAATAAATTAGTGAGAGGAAAAAAGAGTTGGAATAGCTGGATACATTGGTTTCTAAGAGAAAGAAGGAATTATAACAATTAGACAATTCAATTTCTAGTCAACCAAAAACAGCTGATTCTGATTAATCTCATACCTCTAGAATGTTAGGCTCTTCTCAAAATAATAAAGACATTTTTGATTCTATGTTTAACTTTGATGGCGAAAAATTTCCCATCAAAAAATAATATGAAGATATACCCTTAGTTTCAATTGATACATCATACCCACAAAAAAAGCGAAGACTATTAGATGGATAAGGGGTCTTTCATGTTCAAGAGAATTTCTTACTAGCCAGACAATAAAAAATATATGACAATACCATTGACGTTGCTATATATTTGAAATGTATTGAAAAACCTATGAAGGATTTATAAGTCTAAATTAAATGCGAAGATCGTTGTAATAATATTAATATCTTAGAATGTATTTATCCTAACTTAAAGGAAAATAATAACCTGGAACCAGAATAACAGATCAGATTAGAACTTAGAAACATCGATAAATCTTTGCTTACTCAGAACGATATTGAAGTTGAGATAAATATTGATTGGTAATAAGGTTTCCCAGAAATAATTACTTTTTATTTGAAACTCACAAATATTGTCACTTATAATTATGCAATAGAATAAGAGTTGGTGAAGGAATATCAAAATATCCCTAAAGTTTTAATTTCCAAACAGTTTTCATTTGACTCTGAAGTATTCCCAAATGGATTGGAAGATGTGTAAAAATGCATTCAATATTCTATAAATTATAAAGTTAAGAATTAATTATTGTTATCTGGAAGTTTAAATAAAAACGCATTTATTTGCAGAGTAATAATTTCTAAATATTTAAGATCACTTTAGATGAAGAAGGGAAGGCCTCGGTAATTATAAAGAAATTATAGAATGAGGAATTAGCCAAAAGATTAACATTAGCTTATATTGAAGCATTACAAAGAATTGATTGATTACATAGGTATAAAATTAAAATAATCAATTTCTTTTTTTATTAATCCATCCAGGAGAATTGTTGATATTATAATTATAAGTTATGTTGTTATACACAATATTTAAATTCCTATCCTAATCTTCCAAAGTATTCCTACATTCTCCAATATTATAGTTGTATTGCTATTACAATTGTTGTTTTTATCCCTTTTGCATATTGAGAATTTCTTTTGATTAGTAAACCTCTTATTCATCTCCTGAATATTCATCAGTAGGATAAAAGTTTTATCTAAGCTAAGTAGATTTCTTTTTAACTTAATAAACTGGGATTTGTTGTTAAAATAATTATTATTATTGTTATTATTCTTTACGTTTTAATTTTATAACTGTGTTTTAATCATCTTCATTAAGGTCAGGATTGAATGATTTTTTCTTTGCTCTGACTCTGAGATTCATAGATTTCTTATCCCCTTCAATTGAATTGTTTAAATCATTTTCAGGTATTTCATAATTGTAATTTTAGGCCATCTTATTTTAAAGAAAGTTATCAAATTAACCTTCTTAATATCCAATGATCACATTCTTTTACAAGAATCCTAATTGTGAATTTACATCTTTCTTGGGCATTGATTTAGATTCCTAAGAAGGCTAATTTATAGTATTATAATTTACTGTATTTTTTTCTCCTGTTTTTATGGGTGCAGGCTTAACAAAGTTATTGACTCTCTCTACAGAAACGTTATTATTTCCTTTTTATTATGTTTTTCTATTTGAATGATATTAAATATATACCTTTCATTTGATTTTTCTGCTCTTTTATTGCTTGCTAAATTGTCTTTTTGTTATGATAATACTTATTACTATTGTTGTTATTGCAACTATAATTATTGTTATTGATTGATTTATTAATTCTGTTTGGCAGCTAATTTATTTGCAGATTGAATTCTATCTTTGGGAATTTGTTCCTTGTCTCTTAATTCTTTTAAAAACTAATAATATTAATCATCCCTAATGCCATCAAAGTAGGGATGTTCTAAAGCCTCGAATGCTGTCATCCTCTTACTAGGATCCATTTTCAATAAGCCTTTAATAAAAGAAATGGCTTTTAAAGAGAGTTTGGATTAAAACTTCTTTTCAATTGTGTCTGGTTTGGTGATTTCATGAAATTTCATACCCACGTAGCGAGGATTCTTAAGGAAAGCTTCCTTTTACTCGCTAGTCAAAGGACCCAGCAACTAAGAAATATCACAGTAATTTAAACTTTACAAATCAAATATAATTGATCCATTTCAGTTTAGCCTTGAAATAAGGGTTACCCATCAGTCAATTCAGCCATTATGCATCCAATAGCCCAAATATCCACTCCCTTTCCGTATTCATCTCCCAATAACAAATCTGGTGCCCTATACCATCTAGTAGCAACATAATCAGTCAACTATCCTTATTTTTGTGGAATGAGTCTTGCAAAACCAAAATCACAAACCTTCAACACCATCTAGTCGCTTACCAAAAGGTTTTCAGGTTTGATGTCTCTATGTAATATTTCAAGAGAATGACAGTAAGCAATAGCTAAACATAATTAATAAATAAATCTTCTTGTCAATTCAGGCTAAAATGGAAATTGAATATTACATCTAAGCCATTTGGTTTTTCTTCAAGTAATTCTAATAAGTTTTTTTCGACATACTCTAATACTACATAAAGTTTGCCTTTTCTAGAGATAATGGATTATAGGATACCTTCTAAATGCCTCTTTGATTTTAACGATATTGTCGTGATTTAACATCTTCAAAAGTTTAACTTCCCTCAGGATTGTTTTTTTAATGCTTTCATCTTCTTCAGATCCAATATACTATTTGATGGCTACGATCTAAATTATTAATTTTCTCTACTTCTCCTGTCTCCTTGTTTTGCCCTTTGAGTACTACACCATAAGAACCCTTGCCTATGATGCCAAGAACTTCGTACTTTTACATAAAAAATAAATTATATATTTTTGAATAATAATTTTTATCAACCGACAAGGGAGTCTGTGTGAAATCTATTATTCTAATTGTGCTGTCCTCTTTAACTTTAAACAATGCTATTGCTCTTCAATTTATCCTTGGAAAGGAATCCTGGGACCCATGTCTTATTTGATCCTAAGAATTCATCTTCCAAAGTCGGATGGAGTATTTTCCTTACTCCTGTTTGACTCATCCACTTAATTTCGAACTCCTAAATTTCATAGTCCTCCTTCTCTATGGTGTTGGGTGTTTTGGGATTTGAATATTTTTTTGAATTCAATCTCTTACTGTTATTTGCAGTAGCAATAACACGTTAGAAAGGCAATGGTTTTTTTTGAGCCTCATCTTGCAAATCCTTCATTTAGAAATCATCATCTCCACCAACATTAATCTAACTCTGTTATCTTAAGAATTGAGCCTTCTTGACTTGAAATGATTTGCGTCTCACCACTTTATAATTCTTCTCTTAGATATTATTTTGCTATACAAAACTATATTAATAGAGTAATACTCTGGTAATCTATCCTTTTTGACTGAGAATCCAACATGAAATATCTTGTCTCTCTCAGTCTCTTGGATGGCAGTGTTCAGTAATTTCCGATATTCTAGCATGAAATTCTTTTATTATCTCTTCAACAGATCTTCAGGATTCAAATTGCCTATCTTCTTTTTCTACTGAAGTATAATCTCGATGTTGTCCAATCCTTTATTTCCCGAAAAGTACTTCTCATTAGTAATGCTAATAAGATTATAACTGTTATTGAATCTAATCAATTTCACTGCATTGTCAATAAAATTCTACAATATTTTAACAGTATCTTTTTGCTTTGGTTCCAACTCAAACATAGTTGCTATTATATTGTCACTCTCAATGATTAAGGGTCCTCTCAGATTGTGCTCTGCTAATGAATTGAATTTCTAATTTATTCACTTCAATAACATACTTTCTCTGGATTTGTGAACGTGATTGCATGAATGTCCCATTAATTGCAAGAGGTGATTGCAAATTCCATAGCTACACCTCTAAATAACCAATGATGCAAGAACTGCTTTTTTATTTAACAGATCATTTCATTTTGATTTGCCAACATATTCTATTTAGGTTTATAAGTTGGTGATTTCACAATGTACTTACCAATCGACTGATATTCCATAGCATCTCTCCTATTATGCAAACCAATGTTCGCTTTTGGCAACCATTCATCAGTCACTTTGCTGTACAGATATAGATCTCCTGTGGTCGAATCCAAGAAGTATTCATTCGGACCATTCTTCAATGCCTGTAGAGTGTATTTTGGAAAATCTACCAATTTACAACCTTCCCCGTGATTGTTCGTAATGGAAGCATGCTTTTGAATAGAATTTATTTGGTTACCAAAGAGAAATTTGTTGAACAAAGGTAAGCTATAGCCTAAGCTCCAAATGAAGTTGAGAATAATAACTTTTTGGTCTTCAAACACATCCTGATCAAGGTTATTATCTCGATATTTATGTGTATTTATACCTTTCTCATATTTGGATTCCAAGGTTTTGAATTCGGAGAAGCGATAATGAACACAATATCAATTGAATTAAATTTCTATCCATATTCCATTCTGATCAAACTTGTCTCCGGTTCATAAAGGAAATCATCCAAAGAATGTCGATCTCGAAAATGATACTCACATTCAGTATCTGCTACTTCCCTCTATTTCGATATCATCTAAATCTAATGTTATTATATACACATTAAATGCTGTTCCTAAAATATTCAAATGCTTTTGCACAAGATGCAGATGCATTGAACCCATTTACTATCAGAAACCTCATTATTATATTTTATTTATTTCCAATATAAATGAGACAACAACAACCATATTTCATAAGACCTCCTAACCTTTCGTCTCGCCACTCCACAAATAAGATAAGCTTTCTTAATAAAGAAGATACCCCTTCGAACAGTTAGGGAGTTCGAAGGAAAACGCCCAATCTTGCTCATCCATTAAGTTCACCTACACATTTCAAAGATATGTAATTCTATTATACATATGGAGGCATCGCGTCAATCCCGTTAAACGTATTCCAACTCTATATTCGCCATTACATGACGGATCCTTATCAAAATATAAAATTATAAGTGATGTTTCAGTATACAAACTACCAACTACTAGGAGAATCAAATCCGATGATTAAAGTTCTAATATAATACCCATTAAAAAACAGTAGAGTTAACACATCAATAATATTAAGTTGCGAACTGATAGAAGAAAAAATTTTACTCCATTAATTAAAATGAAAACAGAGCCTAATGAAATCGCTCAACATTCCATTTCTAAATAAGATGAGTCCCAAGATATTTTATTTCGTCTTCATAAATAATCAATCCCATAAGAACCCAGGGATAAATTTGCTTCATTATTGGGAGACAAAATTGTTAGCAGTATAAAAAAAATAGACAAAAAGACTGAAAACTTTATTGAACTAGATCAAGATAGTTAATTTTTTTTAGAAACCAAAGAAAATAAGAAAAACAAAGAAATCCCTGTTTTAAATCAATAAACTAAAGAGAGAATTTTAGATTTACTTTGTTTGTCTACACAAGATTTAAAAAAGAAATTCGCTGAATAAAGTAGAGTAGGGAATTCTAAAATTAATACAAGGCAGTCTAATAAGTTAATCATTCCTAAAAATGGCAAATCTAAATTTCCATTAGATTTTTTTAATGCTCTCGTACCAAATTCTATTCTTAATTGATTTTTTCTTTATCTAATATTATATTTTTTGTAATTTCCATCTTATAATAGCTGTTTTCCAAATGATTTATATTATATTTAATTCATATTTCCAAATAAAATTTCTATTTTAGACCAAATTATTTATAATACTTTTTAAATGAATATAATTAATCATAAGCTTTTGCCATCTCCTAATATAAATGCATATCCATTTAATATTTGTTCAAGTATCTGTCTTTTTGTGGTGAATTTAGATTCAAAAGATAGATAAATGCAGATTTTATCATTTGGTAAAATTTCAAACTAAAATATATTAATAGATTTTTATACCTTTATTAAAAATGAAATGTCTAAAACATATCCTAAACCTCCCAATTTTATTTCATCTATTCCCATTTCAAAATCATTAATTTTGTTGTTATTTAAAATTATTGTTTTTGGCATTTACTTTTAGAAGTTATAAATATCTTTCATCACTCCTTTATTTAAATTAAGCAATGGTGTTCGAATTTAATTAGATATCTGCGATTTCCATTTATTCTTAAATTCACTCACCTTGATTTCTCTATAAATTATCTATTAGCAGATGTGATTTGGAATGTAAATTTAGAATGGATGGGTCTCAAAGTGAGAAATTTACAATGTCAAAATTTAATAAGGAATCTTATTCGATCCAATCAATATCTCTATTAACTCGTTAGAATCTTCATCTAAAGTTTTTGAAAATTCTAAGGGGGACGCCCAAAATTGTTAGAATTCTAAAATAGATATCATTATAATTTTTACTTTCAACTTCCAAAAATTACACCGTGAAATCCTGTTTAGCTCCCTAACTATTTGATACATATAATCCATATGTAAAATATGTTTTATTCTATGCAACTTGAGTTTAATACAATAATCCAAACTGTATCCCATAATCTTCATACAAAATGCCTTAAGATCCTAAACATCGCTGTTTGAAAAAGGTCACATTATCTCTGTTCAAATGAGAAATATCATCAAAATTTTAATTCTATTAAATCACCTTACCTTTTCTTGATTTCTATGGTTTGTTATTAAAGTAATCTTCAGGACTGCTGTAAGGGAATATTAGGTCTAAACTTTCAGGATTAATATTTTTTGGCTTTTAAGGTACTTATTCAGGATAGAATTTTCTATTTTTTGGAAAATGCTTGAACACAGCTATGGGACACTAAATTTACACGATCGGATTATTATCAAGGCCTGCATTCACTTCTTTTATTGAATGATTTGCATTTGCTTTAACTTCAGAGATCTCTATTTGCTAATTGATTTATTATTGTTAAATAGATTCTAGTTCAGAAACTTAAGATTTTGTATGATTCTTTGAAGGAATCTTTAATTATAGCTAAGCCTATTTTTAGATTGCCTCAATAGCGGCCAACTGATTCTATTATGCCTATTATTGCAATTCAAAGACATCTTTTTACAATTTTTATCTATCCTAGGTAAGATCGTCTATTCTTTATTTATAATATTCATCTTTCTCTTTCAAAGCAATTTTATGATCTTCCTTTAACTTATCAATCTCATCTAATTTCTATTGCAATTTTTATTGTAAAAGAGTTGAACTTCTATTGTCCATATTCTTTTGGATAAATTGATCAATTTATTATTAAGCAGCCTCTAGATTTCTCTTTAGTTGTTAATTTTCTTTTTAAGCAGCTTAATAACTTTATTATAATTGTTTTTATTCTGCTTCTTTATCACTAAGTTATAATTAAATTGAGTTTAACTATTGTTTGGTACTTAAATTTTCCTTTCTAGCCTCAAATACTTATTACAAAAGTTCATCATTAGACTTCTTTTAACTTTCCTATAGGATTAAATAATCCTTTTAGCTTTTTTCCAATTAAGTCTTATAAAGATTTAATTAATTATTCAGAGTATCTGAAAAGGTTTATTAATCATTAAGCTTGATTTTGCTTAAATCAATTTCTTTTTACAGACTTTTTTACAGAATTTCTTTATCTAATTTTAAGGTTTCTATTTCTCTTTTCTGTTAGGCTATCAACTACTCATTTTGAAATTATTTATCTTAAATCTCACCATGATTGGCTTATTAAGCCTTGTTTTACTCTAATTATCTTATTAATGCTTATTTTTCTGAAAATAAATGTTGTCTTTCTATTTTATAATTATTTAGCTCTAAATCATTTTAATCTTTTTGTTATTGTTTCAACCTTTCAGAATTCAATTTATATTCATTAAATTGTTATTGATTTTGTTAAAGTTGATTCTAAATTAATACTTTTTCTTATTAAAGTTAATCAAATTTTGTTTGCAGACTTCTTAAGTCTTCTTATATTCTATTACCACCTCCATTTAATGAATACACATCTTCCTTCAACTTTTTATTTCTGTTTTCTTCATCTTCTAATTGTTTTTGTAATTATCCCTTATCTCTTTGTAAATTTTCCACTTATTGCTATAAGATTTCCAATTATTTCATATCAAACTAGTTAATCTATTGATGATTTTCTTATATCAAATCAGGGGCTCCACTTACATCACCTTTTATTTTTTGGTATTACGGCTGAGGTTTCAATCCCAAACTAGATTGACTGATAGGTTTTAAATTTTTCATTTGAACTTTAGATTGATCAACTGGAGGTTAAAATTAATTAGTGATAAATATTTATTCTCCTTAAGAGATTGAAGAATTCTAAATTTTGGTAGCTCCAATTAATTCTTGAGCTTTTTTGCTGTCACTGTTATCCAATACGATTTGTTACTATTGTTTTTGTTAATTTTGTTCTTAATGAATTCTCTTTTATTCTTCTTCTTATTCTCTTTATTTTTTTTGATCTTCCTCTTATTATTGCAACTTTTTTTACCTCTCTTCCTCCTCCTAGATTTATTTCAATTTCTTTTGCTCCTCTAAATCCTAAATTCTTTTTTTCTCCCTCGCCTCATCTTCCTATCGTTTTTTTAGCTCTCGGTTTTTCTTCTCTTCTTCTTATAATCTTTAATCTTCTTATTCCTTTCTTCTTTTCTCTTCATTTTAACGATCTTACTCCTCTTTTCTTTTTCTCTCTTCATTTTAACGATCCTACTCCTCTTTTTTTTTTCTCTCTTCCTCTTAACGCTGTTACTCCTCTTTTTTTTTTCTCTCTTCCTCTAAACGCTCTGACTCTTCCTTTAATTTTCTTAGTCTTTCTTGTTCCTTCCTGTCATTTTCAATAACTTTTTATTGCTCATCTATTATTAATTATTGTTATTTTGCCTAATCTAATAATCTCTATCTTTCCTTTTCATCTTCTATTATTTTTTTTTATGCCGCATAATCGGGTTTATTTTTCATGTATTTCTTTCTGAACTCTGCATTAGTCTATATATTAAGAGAACCCAAGTCTTTTTCCAAGGTTTACAAATTATCCATCTCCAACATGACTTCGCCTGCCAAGTCCTCCTCATCATAGTCTATAAGTTCATTAACCATTATATCCATTTCCTAGGTTTTAGCCATAACTTCACTCCTTAAATCATGAAACAGTTAGGGATCGCAAAGTAAATTATGCGAACATATATCTCCAACTTCATCTATCAATTTTCTGCATCTATCAATAACAAGAGATGATTTTTTCACAATACCAACTTTTGGATTACCTGGAGTAGCTTAACCTGGAGTTTAATTTTGAATGTTTCCAAGTTATTAAGTTTAGGGTGGCTGATTAGAAGATGCTTATTTCATTGGTTAAATCCCGCCTGTGTTAACAACATTTTGACCATTTCCACCATTTGATTTTAGAAGATCTACTGTGCGAGGAAAATCTGGACTTGTATGCTAATTAATAAATTCTGGCTTATAGTAAGTCCAATTTATGAATTTATATCCCTTTCTTTCTAAATCCATATATAATTGAATGAATTTAGTTGGTCCTCCTTAAGGATATTAAGGAAAAAACAGAGCCCATGCCTTTATACATTCCATGGCTAGCCTAACTAATGATGTTCCATATGATCTGGTATCCTTTTCTAGAATAACTATTTTGAGTACCCAGATTTTCTCCAAATAAATTGAATCCCCTATTTTGGTCATTAAGAGGACCCCCAAACTCTGCATAAAATCTTAAGGAATCTAATGTGATATCTTCAAATTTATTTATAAATCTCATATTGGAAATATCAATTAGATCCTTACTCAACTATAAGAATAGAATCATATTATACTCTCAATGCTAATAACCTGGCTAATGGAGCATGTACGTTTCGATTATTGTCCCATTTTAGGACTTCTTTAATGGTGGTGCAAATTATTTCAAATATTGGTTCCTAATTGTCTTACACAGCCTATTTAATTGCGCGAGCATTTTTGTAATCCTCTTATGTAACTAAGCATAACATAATAAACTCAGGTGTGATTTATTGCATGAGATTAACTGTCTAAATGATGTTTAAATTTTATTAATTAATTAATATTTTTCTTAATAATCCAACATAAATAGTAATTCTTATTGAATAGCGTATCTATCTAGCTCAAGAATAAATAAAAATTTGTTTAATAATAAAAACTCGAACAATTATATATTCACAATAACTATTTCATCAACAATTCAAACTCTGAATAACCCACATTCTAAAATAAAAACAATAAAGTACTTATGGATTTGAAAAGTTGTCTTAAAACAATTTATCTAGTTTGGATGAAGCAACACTAAAATGAAATCGGAGTTTTTGTGTAGTCAATTTACCATTACTAGAAGCAACCATTTTGAATGTTGTCTTCAGATTTTCCTCTGTCAATAACCCAGGTTTATCAGTTATAGCTACCAAGAATTCTCCAAAATCAATTGTTCCACTTTTGTCAACATCAGCTATCTTGAAAATATTCTCAATGAAGGCTTTTGCTTCTGCTTTAGAAGCAAATCTATTAGAATATACTTTTAGAATCTCTTCCTTAGTTAATTGACCATCTTGATTTTCATCCAAATTCACGAATTCCGTATAGAGTTGTTGTTAATCAGCTGAACAAATGTTTTTAATCATAAAAGTCAAAAACAACTGTTGGAGTTCTGAAATTTTTACCTTATTTTGTTAAAGTTAATTTAAGATACTTTGATCGTTTTACTTAGCTCTAATTCTAAACCAATGATCATTCATAAATGCTAAAATTGAAATTCTCTATTTAATAGGCACCAAAACTCTTTAAATCAGTTGTCTACATAATTTAGATACTCTATCGAATTAAAAATTGTTATATTGGGCAGCCATCTTTTTAATTTGTGATTTCACTGATTCAATTGTATTTCCTTCGAATGGAGGATATCCACATATCATCTAATATGCCATTACTCCCAAACACCAAACATCTCTTTAATGATTGAATACATTTTAGTCTTTTATAGTACAAGCTTCAGGTGGGAGACTAAAAACATTTTATTCATTTAATGCTGGCTTTACAAATAGACCTCTAATATCACTAAGTTTAATTTGAAAATTATTTGACGTATCAACTCGGGAAAAGCTATTCAAATTAACGAAACCATGAGTCAATCCATTTTGTTCCAAATATCTTAGTGATTCTGCTGCCTAATAGATGATGGATGCAATTTCTGCTTCAGTAAAGGGAATTATGGATTTATCGACATAGTAATTGGAGAGTTGGCCTCCACTGCAATAATCCATTATCAAGTAGAAGAATTCATCATCAATAAACAATTCATGTACATTCACAATTCTAGGGTTATCCTATATAATAATTATGTTTTAATTATTACCAAGGGGTAACATTTCAATTGAGTGATAAATTCTTCATTTTCTTAATTTCTTTCATATTATTCCGCTACTCTAATTTTGCCAGTTAGATTATGCTGAACCAACTTCTAATTTGATGACACTTATATAATTAAACAAATAATCATACATTTCATGTTTCCTTAAGTGATTTCACTGTAAAATCGAGAGTAGGAGAACTTATAAACCTTTAGCTGAGACAGATTCTTTTTAGTATCGTCATAAGGTTCGCTAATAAACTCTTAGGGAGGAGAAAAACTTGGAAGAATCATTGAAGGGTTGTTATTAGTGAGCACTTGATCAGTTTTTCTGATTAAAATTGGCTGTTGCAAATTTTTACTTGATTTCAATTTAGATTAAGATTGGCAAGGCCCCATTTATATAATTAATTATAGATTGAGTTTGAAAAAAAATACTAAAAATAGTTAATTTCATTTGATAAAACTGAATATTGATTTCATTTTAACAAAAATAATTCTTTAAAAAGAAATTAATTAATAATTATATATCTAACAGTTTAAGGAAATGAGTCTTTTATTTATTTATATTGCAAAGTAATTTATTTATTTTTAATCCTCCTTTTATGCAAGAATACAGACTAGTTTTATCATCCTTTTTATTTAAATTAGGATTTCTAATTAATTAATAAATTTTAAGGTATTCTCTTCTAATTTATAATGATTATTAATGATCATAATATGAACTTATTATTTTTGTAAAATTTGGTATAAAATATATTCAAAAATAACTATATTAATTTGTAAAACCCAATTAAAATGAACATTAATGCAAATCATCAAGGGCTTAAACGCAAAATTGATATTTTCATTATTTATGAATTTTTTTATAGGTGTTTAATTCAGTTTTCATTTCATTTACCACCAGAGCCAAAGCTTCAGGATTAACTCCATTTTCTATCATACTAACCAATACAGCTAATTATTATCTATCCAATCCGCAATTTAAAATCTAAGACATTTCATGTATGACTATTAGCTATAACCATTTTCAATTACTTTCAAGTGTTTCTTAAGCCTCCTCCTTTTCTTACGATAATGAGACTTTCAATTAACTTTTAAAATTTGAACTATTGTTTTGATTTGCTGACATACAAAATTTAAAAAATATTTTTAATTTTAAACTCATTGAATAAATATTAAATGGCCATTCCCAAGCAGAATATCGTATTAGATCCCCTACAAATCTATCACATATTCTCATTTTACCCAGTAGCCTCAACTAAATTTCTTATTTAATCCCAAGGCTATATAAATACCCATATCCTAATCCGTAAGCATAATCGCATTAAGCAACACCGCCTATTATTCAACATCAAAGTTTTTGAAATCATTTGATTTGCTTTTGAAATTATAAAGAGAACTTAAATGTAAAATACTTACTCCAAACACTGTATAATCTTGAGAATTCTGACCTTTAGAACATTAATTAAATCAATCCTATATGTCCGATATGTATTTCTAAGCTTTGTTACTTTGAAGTGCAAAACCTAACTTTTAATCAGACGCTATTTAGATACACTAGAAGTGGTTACTCACACTGCAGTTTATATAAGAAGGGCACCTTATACTATTACTTCAATTTTACAAAATTTTACTTATAATTATTATCCAATCTAACAAATTATTCATTTTTTGCACCTAAAGGTATTACTCTGTATCATAGATTGATCATTCACTTAGTAATTTATGTTTTTAGTAAGAATGCACTGAAATTCCAAACTCTCCATTCTCATTTCTCTAAATATAATCTCAGCCTTCGGTTCTCCCATTTTCTTTTAATTCCGATTAAACTAATCCAATAAATAGATCTTATTTGATACTATATCTCTTAAGGCAATGCCAATTAGTTCTAATAATCGACATAAAAATGTTTCAAATGCATTCATGAAAAATTTTGTTAGTTCTCCTTTTCTTGTTTAATCTGCTAAAATGAATTCTAAATTTCTCAGCATTTTTCTTAATATATATGAACTTTAGAGCCACTCTTTGATATACTAAAGTCTTGGAATAGTTATTTGGAGAAAGAATTAATTAACAGATCTATCTTAAATTTCTATGACTAGTTCTTAAACTAAGAATTTAATGATGTTTCGCCTTTAAATTCAAATAACCTGATTTAATTCAAACCTTGATTGAATTTTTCTAAATAATTAAATCCTATAAGCTTTTTTTAGAATTGATTAAATTTAACTTTCGTTTATTTTATAATTCTTCTTGCTATTACTTAAATTTATTTCCTTGTTCAAATTCTAAAAATTATTTTTCTAACTTTGATCCTATTTATTTCCATTAAATTTTAATTATTAAATAAAACACTAAAAGATATTAATTAAATTCAAAGTTTAGATCTAGTAATAACAACTTTGAACAGTATTGAAACAATAGATATTTTTAAAATAAAGTAAATATAGAACCATTTAGATAAATAATGAAAATTGTATACATTTAAGATTCATTCTATAAGTAATCTCATTATTGATTCAAACTATTACCAATTGAGCTAAAATTAGATTATCAATATTACAGTATTTAAATCATCTGTTATTTAAGAAAACTCGGATTTGATATCTGCAGTTTCACATTACAAATGTCTTTTAAGTCCCTTTAATTATATTTCTTGTTTATTGTATGAGAAGATTTAGAAGCAAGTTTCAGTATTTTATTAGGTTAACAAAATAGATCTGGTTAAAGCCAAGGACATAAATTATGTTGAATCTATTCCTCCTTCTTAAGGGTCAATTTCTAACTATTAAAATATTTCATCTATTTTATTTTCTACATCCTCTGTTGATTTATAGTTAGAAAAGAGTTTAATGAGTTCTTGCTTACTTAATAATCCATCCATATTTGTATCACTCTCTGAAAATAGTTTTTGGATTGCAATATATTCTTCCCAATTAAATTCCTATCCAAAATATCCCAACAATAGTTATTGAATCGTGCAACAAGGTTTATTTAAAAGAAAATTAGCAAAGAGAATTTCTTATTGAGAAGTAGTCTTAATTCTATGAATTTTTAGAAATTGATGTTTTAAAAGAGTTTCAAAATCTACTCGATGTTCAGGATCCTTTGCCAATGTTGCTTCTAAGAAATTCTTAAAGATCAAATCCTTCTTTTTTGAGAAATTGAATTTATGATCTTTGATTATGCTTATTAAGAATTATTGTGTCGTATTATGAGATAAGTTATAGGGTAACTAACCTTTCTTTAAAGTATAGCCTAGTAATCCTACCATCCAAATATCTCTTTCTTTAGTAAAGAGATTCTGATGATATAAACATTCTGGAGGCAATAATTTAATTATTTCCATATTATCTTCTTCCTTTATGATTATTCCCTTTACATTTACTAATTTTATCACCAATCCTCCATTGCTACCTTACATATACTCAAAGGATTTAAGTGTTAGGTTTCCATGAACCAAATTTTTAGAGTGAAGATATTGCATTACAGAGATAATTTATTCATAAATTTGAGATACTAAACTTTTTGAAACTTTGGCCTCGCCTATAATTAAATCTGATAAATAATTCCCATGAAAATGCTCAGATACCACTTAATAATTCATTCTATCCTGAAATATTTCAACAATCCTGAGTATATTGGGATGATCCTAGAGAGCATTTATTATAATAATTTACTAAAGCTACTTTTTATAGCCATGAGATGTACTTCTCATTATCAGGATTAGACTTCTAAAAATTTTCCATCTGCACTAGCTTCCCTGTCTTATTACTTTGCAAAATCGAAATTTACTAAAACATATGACTGATACGTACATAATTTGAGGAATGCTGACCAATTAGAGTATATTTTTTAGAAGCGCTCATAGTTTCAAGAACAGGGCTAGCAGTGCAAGAAAGCAATCCAGATACATTGTTTTAGATTTTTAAGACTGATATTGGATTTCTTTGTCTAGATGAAACCATATTTCCTTCCGTGTTGGTTGAATAATTGGAATCGCCAAAGATTTTCTTTTCTTAATGAGAAATGTTAGATCGTCTTATGGTAGCATCTGGTGTCGCAAATATATCTGCTTTAATTTTTTCTTCTATTGAATGCCCATTATGTGAGACAAGCTTTTAATTTTACATTTTTTTCGTCTAGCAAACTCCCATATTTTAATAATATTACTATTTTTATTAAAACAAAGAAATTTTAAAGGGGTATATCTTAATCTAATGAGAAATCTTAATTGTCGATATAAATAAGAGCCTTAACTGTGAATTATTATAAAATGAGAAAAACGTTTATTTGTATAAAAAAGTATATAAATAATTCTATAAAGAAAAGTATATTTTATTAATTAATTTAATTTTTATTATATTTAATATATTTAATATATATTTGATATATATTTAATATATTTTAGAAATAATAAGACTAAATATCAAATCATCAATTCTAAGATTTTAGAGAATTGCTAGTAGTTTAACTAGAATAAAAATTAAAAAATACTGAATTTTGATTTTCTGTTAAACGAGTTAGCTCAACTTTAATCTCATCAATATCTGAATTTAGATACTTTTTCAATCCTTTTAAATTTATTTCTGAAGAATTGAGTGAAAATATCTCAAAACAAATCTCAATGTTTGATATTGACAATACATCTTTCCTCGTTGCTGTAAGAGCTAAAAATAAATTGGAATTTATTTTATCATCTATTTCAAGCTCTTTATATAAATTATCGATTTTCTCTTCAATCTTGTCGATAGTCAAATATTTATTAAATAGTTTAACTAATCCTGTCTTAGTCATCAATCCATCCATATCTACGTCTCCTTCTAAAAAGAGCTTTTGAATCTATAAGTACTCTTCCCAATTAAATTCTTAAACAAAAAATCCAAGAATCAATTATTATAAAAGACAACTTGGTTTTGCTTCTAAAAGATTATTAAGCAAGATCTCTTATTCGCTTTTCTGTTTTAATTAATATCTAGTAAGGAATGGTAAATTTAGTAATTATTCTACTTTAATTCTTTTTAATGGATTCTTATTCAAAGAACTAGAAAGAAATTCTTTAAATGCTTGATCCTTTTTATGTTCAAATTTAAACGTGTTATTCTTAACTAACATCCTTATTTTTTCCTACGTCAATTGCTGAGGTAATTAATAAGGGAGACCCCCTTTTTTTAAGGTCAATCCGATTAATGCAATCGCCCAGACATCTCGTGCTTCATTCTATTAAGGTTGATAGATGCACTCTGGAGAAGTGTATTTAAGTACTTCAATATCATCTTCAACTTTAATCACAGCCCCCTTCAAATTTGATAATTTAACAATAATTCCATCTAATTTCTTTTAATAAGAAAATGAATTAATTGTAATAGCTCCATGATAAATTTATTGTTCATGCAAATAATGAATAGCCTGCAACATTTGATTTACCACTTAGGATACTTAGGGCTTAGATAATTTTGAACCATCAACTATTAAATCTGATAAATCATTATCCTCAAAGTGTTCAGAAACTACCTAATAATATTTATTATCTTAAAAGATTTCTGATACTCTGATAATGTTAGGGTGATCCTAAAATATAAATCAATTATACTATCTTGTTTCTCATCAGCCATTCTATGTAATTCGTACACTCTGGATCATCTTTTGGAAAGGTCTCTAATTGCATGATTTTGCCGGTCTTATTGTTTGAGATTATGGATATAGACTACAATAGACACGAAATACTTACATGATTCCCTTGTTTTTTTCTAATCAGTGAATATTTTTTGAATGCACATGCAGGTAAAAGTATATGATTCGAACTGCTTGTTGTAGCAGTATAGTTATTTGAACCTTGTTTCTTCAAAGTGATCCTTCTTTTCGCTCTTCGGGTGAATAATATTCCTTCAGAAAGAGGAGAAGTCTTGTTGTTCTCACTAATTTTTGTTGGATCTATTTAAAGATTCATTCTTCTTTTGGGAAAGCTTTCAGAAATCTCAGAAACTTCAGTCCTGATTCTGATTTGAGTTTAAGAAGTCTGTGTGTTTTATCTCTTGGAATTTCTGACTTTCGTTTGACAAACACCCATTTTATAATTAATTATTACCCCCAAATAATTGAGGTACGAAGATTTTAAATTATCAAATGTGGAATTTAAAATCAGATTAATATTTAATTTATCAAATGTATTTATATTGAGACTAGGTCAAATCCAAAATTAAGATAATATAAGATATTTATATATATATATTAATTAATAATTCAAACAAGCAATTGAACTAGCTTTTGGAATTATTTCAGAGTTAACTAAAATAAGATTCATTTATACAGTCTTTTCTTCATTAGTTATACGATTGAATTCATCAATCAATTCCTCTGAATCAGAATTTAAATGTCTTCTTAAACCCCTGAGATTGATCGCCTTTTTACCATTTGAGAAAATCTAGAAACATATCTCTATATTGCTCTAGGTAAGCAATAAATCTCTGCTAGCAGCCAGAGATTGGAATTACTGACAATTGAATCCATTCTCCTTGTCAATGCCATAGTTTAAGATGATTTTTTCAGCCAACTCGTCGGAATTAGGCTCATTGAGATACTACTTGTACAGATTTGATAACTCCTACTTACTTAAATACCCATCCATATCTTAATCCCCTTCTGAAAACAATTTTTATATTTAAAGGTACTCTTCCCAGTTGAATTCTTATAAAAAATAACAAAGTATCATCTCTTATAAAACACAACAAGGCTTAGCAATCTTTGTATTAATCAATATTATTTCTTGAGGAACAAGTTTTTAAACAGTATTTTCTACCAAGAATTCATCTTTTTTTAATTGGCTCAGAGTTATTCTACTTTTTGAGTTGTGCACTAAAATTTTCTTCATAAAGTTAATTAATAACTAATCGGTATCATCATATTGAATTGTTGTACGCTTTATTAACAATTAGGCTTAAGAGTGATCAATTTGTTGAGGGAACTAATACGGGAAAATCCCATATGTAAGAGCGTAACAAATTATTCCTATAGCCCAAACATCTCTGGCTATAGCGTAATTACGAGGTTGACTCAAGTATTCTAGAGGTGTGAACTTTAAAAGATCCAAAGGCTCGGGGTCTTTAATTATAACTTTTTTTATATCTACTAATTTGATTAGAATTTCATTTTTCGTTTTCTTAAATTAAAAGGAATCAAGAGTCAAATGTCCGTGTATTAGATTTAGAGAATGCAAATAAGAAATGATTGAGATTATCTGTGCCATAATTGAAGATATTTATTTTACGGGAAGTTTATTTTCTTCAGATACAAGATCTGTTAATGATTTCCCATCAAAAAATTCATAAATAACTTAATAAGAGTTTTAATCTTGATAAATTTCAAGTATCCGATTGAGATTAGGATGCTCCTATGTTATTAATGATTCATAGATACCAATTAAACTTTTGAAAGCCAAGTTATGTACTCTTATGTTTCTTCATCCTCTTTTAAAAAATTCTCCATTTCCACTATTATTCCAGTCTTATTATTCGACAATATTTGTTTCATCTATGTAATCACAATCAAATTTACATCATGCATTTGAAGTTTCTTGATTAATGAATATTTTTTAGATGCACTCATTTCAATGATCGGAATTTGACCAAGTTATGGAGAATTAGAGATTAATCCCGCTAATTTTATTAACCCTACCCTGGTTTTTTGGCCTTTTGACAAAAGATACCCAGCTGATTTAGGTGAATTAATTTCATCGAGACTATTTATTTACAAAGGCCCTGGATGTTTGAAACCTGTTTCTTATGTTGCACTAAACTCGGTCTTCACTCTTTCGCCATGTCTAATGCCTTTCTTTTTTGGGCCTGCTGGATTTTACTTAACTTTAGTTTAACAAACACCCATTTTAATGTTATTTATTTTAATTTGATACCTAAAACGATTAAATATAATTGAAAAGGTCTTTTATATTAATATATAAAAAGTTAATAAATTTTATACGATAACAACAATTATCAGTCATTATTGTCATTTTAATAATTATAAGTTATCTTTTGCATCTTCATTTGATTAAGTAATATTTCAATAAATATTTTTAAATATATGTTGGTCTTCAAAATAGGATAAGGGTTCTAACTCTTTATATACATCCAACAACGCAAAATGAATGCTCTTTCTTTTGGAAATTATCAAAAATTGGCTGAAAAATTTTCTATTAAATTTTGATATTTGCTTATTGAAAATCATCAAATAATGTCAATAGCAAAAAGTGCCTAAAAATTTATAATTTAGTGATTAATTTTTTGATTCATTTTTATATTTTTCAAATTTAGGCAACATCAAGTTGATGTAAACCTTTTAATTCTCTCAATTCAAATGCTCTTAAAATCATGTTATAATGTTAATTCATTTTCTTTGTAAAAATTGAATTTCTAATTAATACTAAAAAAAAGATGTGACTAATTATATATAATAATCCCTTACTCAAAGACATTCCTAATCTCATGAAAGGGAAGATATCAATCTTTCGTATTATATTTAAATATGAATTAAATCATAGTTTAAGTTATCGATTACAAGTTAGATCCACAGTGAATTTTGTAGGTAGTAAAAGTACCCATTATTTACTATTGTATAATAGGAAATATAACATAAGCAGCAATTCATAATTCAGGACATTGATTAATAAAAAATACAGCTATTGAATTTGGATTACTAGTATTTTAAGTACAAATAATGTTTTTCACTTATTCTTTACCATTCTTTTGATTCATCTATAATAAAGACTATTTGTATATATGTAAAATTGGGCTATGTCTTCTTGTGGATTTAGAAAATTTATGGCGATTTCTAAAATTTTTCAAGTGTTATTTATATAAACTCGTCGATAAAGATGTAATTATACTATTTAAACTATAAAAACCAATAATAATTGCAATCAATTGCAAAACAAAACCAGTTGAGTTCAATATAACTCATACTCAGTAAATGTTTTATATATATTGCTTTTAATAATATATTTATTTTAATGAAACGTAGTCCACCTAGCAAAGAAGATTTGTTAAAAGAGGAATATGTTTCCACTTTAAGTTACTTCTTGCGTGATAGTAGCGTTTATGATTGTTTATCTATAAATAATCAAGTTTCTGTTGTTGATATGACATTGTCTCTTTTTGATACTTTCAAGATATTTATTGATTCTCATGTTGATGAAGTATTATTTTGGAATCAGGAGATTGCAAACTATGATGGTGTGTTTACATAGGCAGATCTCATTAAGACTGTTTTAAAATGTTATTACAATGTACTCTATGACATCCCGAATAGTAATTTAATATAATCTATTTTTAGATAGTTTGGACGACAAAAAATATAGCAGCCATTATTGAAATGGAGAATGAAGATGAGTCATATTCACCAATCCAAAGAACCATATAAGGAAGATTAACGATAGATCAATTCAATCAATTATTATCAGATTTTAAGACCATTTCCATCAAGACTTGGTTTAATAGTGTTGGGGAGAATTTGCATTAGAATTGTTTAGTAAAGGCTGAATTAGATGATAATTTGAATGATATCTGCTCAAAATTTATAACAGAAAATATTACCAGAATCATTGTCATAGAAAAAGAATCAAAAATGGTGGCAGGAATTATTCAACAGAAGGATATCCTTAGTTTTCTTGTTAAGGGATTTAATTAATATTTTGCTCTAAAGAAACATTAAAATGGAGCAAGCACTTCCAATCACGAATAACATGAATTACAGATGGACTATTTCAAGGAGGAAGCTATGAAATTAAAGTATGCATTGCCAGCAGATATTCCTGTTTATGAGTATCACTCTTAAATTGTATTTTTAGTCTATTCTATAAATTAATTTATGTTTACAAAAGGAATACGATTGCGATTGTGGATAAAAACCAAAAATATTTGGGGTTGATTGACAGAAGAGATTTTATATTTATTTTGAAATATTAGATGTTTGACATAGTAATTGTTATCAATCCTATTAATTAGTTAGCATCCACAGCTGAGAAGTTGTTGCAATTGATTAAAGCAGAAGATTCTAAATATTTGGCATTTTACATTAGAAATAAATAACAATTCACATTCAATCAAACAATAAAACAAGTAAATTAAGTATCATTGTGTGTAGGTTGTTGAAAATCTGTTATTGTCTCCGAGGGACAGTTTAGTGTGTCTAGATAACGAGGAAAGATTGATGTCTATATTTTAGATCTCAGATCTATTCTAGATATTTGTTACGGATAAGAATTAAGAAAATTGTGGATAATGAGAGTATATTCATTTTAAATTAAAATTGTTTGAGATACGTAAGTTTTAATTAGTTGAGTGACATTAAATGCAATAATAGTAAAGTCTTAGATATTTAATTTTTAAATTTAATTAATGTAAGACCATACTTTAACAATACAGTCAGAGAATGATTGGAAGACCCTAGTTCTTGAAAATGCAAAACCCGTCATTGTTGATTTCTACGCTGATTGGTATTTAGCATTCATTAATTTAATAGGTGTGGTCCATGCAAGGTTTTGAAACCCAAACTCCACAGTCTCCTAGAACAAGGTTAAGGAAAATGGGAGTTAGCAATCGTGAATGTTGATATCGAAGAGTTATAAAAGGTTTCATCTTAATATGCAGTATAATTTTTCATTAAATATTTAGAGTCAAGGAATTCCAGCAGTTTATTTATTCCATAAGGGTTAATAAATTTCAACATTTTTGGGTAACAACGAAGCAAAAGCTAAGGACATGGCTGCAAAGGCATTAACATTGTGAGAATCATGTATATTTTTATAGATAAAAATCTATATATATATTTTGTTAAGGTTTATTCAATACAAGCTGCAACATTTATTATTGGTTTTCTTGGCATTTTTATAGAAGTCTAAACTGACACTACTCATATCCTTTGATTTAGCCATTAGCGATTCCAAAGTCTCTCCTCTTTTTAAAAGCTAAATATAAGGACGAGAATTACATCGTCCAGAGATTAATGAACAATCATAGTGACCTCATTGAGAGTGTTCTCAATTTTAAGTAATTTATCAACTTCTTTGGGATCTTGGTAGAGTTTTATGAATTCTTCAAATTTTGGTATATTTATGTTTTGATCAGCTGTAAAATGGTGAAATATGATGAATACCAACTATGGTGTCTAAGAACATGGAGTTATATTGGCGATAGTATTCTTGATACATATTTTGGATAACCATGAAAGCAACTTTTTCCGGATATTAATCATCTGCAATAACAAGAGCCACTAGATTATTTTTATCGATGCATATATATGACACAGCATGAGCTTCTTGGTTAGTGACAGCACTCCTAGTACCAGGTTTGGCTCGTCTTGTATTTTATATTATATAGAATACGCTGCACAAGTTCTAGCTCCAAAATTGAGAGTTTCTTTAAAGAAAGGACGCTAAAACCAACTAGAAAATAAGTTATTCAAATGTTGTACTTCACAAACGAAAGCTCAAAGTTTTAGGATATAAAAATCGGATTTTCAGGATGGTATTTCAGGAGGTACATTGCTATAATTCTCATTTTACACGTATCTATTATTTAAAATATTAAAAATGCAATAAGAGCAACCAAGAGAAATGGCTTAAGTGGTTTCAATTGCCGAGAACGCACAATTCTTCAGATTGATTTAAAACTCCAGAACAAAGGTTTTCCAGGGAACTGTGAAGCTCGCCCAATTCCAGGATTCAAAAACTCATTTCATTACTATTGAGAGATTCTGTCAGAATATTGTTCCTGGCACCCCTTTTGTGTACATATAATCTGAATCTGGCTTGACACTCATTTTCCCTCATATAGACTAAGGTAATTGGTGAAAACCACAATATGTTTTAGGTTTAAATGGAATCTTTATTCCACAAAGTGATTTATTGAATGCATTCCACACAGCCTTAAACACAGTTGTCTCAATGGTCCCATTTGATTAGGCCATGTAAATACAACAGTTTAAAGACACAATTGAACTACATTGTAAAGACATTGCTACTAACCCTTTGGATAATCCCAATGATGCTGCTGCTTATATAGCAAAGGGTGGAGAGTATATTTAATGATTTAATTCCTCTAGCTATCTTAAGAAAGGATTCATGTTTTTGGGAACAATGATGGCCACAGGAATAAACAAAGGAACTCAATATTTGAATGATAAAATTCAGCCAGGTTAAGAAGTTTAAGTTGATCCAAATACCAAGACTAAATTATAGGCTACTAAAGAAAAAGTCAGTGAAGTCTTCGATGTAACAGGGCAATACCTTGGATAATTATTTAAGCCAGTGGCATAGAAAACCAAGGAGCTCACAAATGAACTAGGCCAAAAAATAGATAATTCAGACAGCAACAGTAAATATAATAGAAATCGTAATCTTAGTTTTGAAATAGAGTAAATAATTGACATCAGCTACTTGGGATGCAGCAGGAACAGCTCTCTCAGGATTAGGCACAGCCTTATGTTAAGTTGGAAGTTCTATTGGAAATGGAACAAAATAAATAGTTTAAAAGAAATACGGAACTGAAGTTGTTAATACTTATTTAGGAGGTGATTAGTAATAACAGTAAGTACAATAAGAACAACAGCAACAATAATAATAGTTGGATCAATATCAACCATTGATTGAAGAGTAACCAGCCCCTTCTTCATGAAAAATATCATATAATTATTATCATTAGTAAAATTACATTAGTATTTTCTCAACAAATCTTCCCATCAATTAAGAGGGAAAGTATGTGGAAGCCTAAAAAACCATTTTGTTTATTTCTATTAAAATCATGTTTTTTTTTAAATATCGATTTAACGAAAGGTGAGCTTTCTACTTAATCTTCTTCGGGTATTGCAACGCCTCCTGAGTTTTGCAGAGACTTCCTTTTGTATGCGATAAGGACAAAAACCTTTTAACTAAATTAGTGTATGCCAGAAAGAGTAATTATAATTAAGGATTCAGGAAGGGCATAAAGAATTTTGTTAGCAGAATCCTTTTGTTCATATTTTATTTATTTCTGATTCCCATTATATAATGACAATTATCTATAATTTTCTGGATGGGATAAAAGATTAAGATTAGAATGCAAATGGCTATAAACATGGCACCCAGAAAAATTCCAAGGGCGATTTCCAGAAATTAGATTGCTTCTAATTACAGCTTATCCAACATGTCCTCAGTTGATTTGAGCTGATAATCAGTATAATCTGCAGTATCATGGAATCTTTATTAAATTGAGGTTAAATACTTACATCATAAAGAGATAATTGAATTTCTTGATCTCATGAATTGTAATCACCAAATCCTTATCATACACACTATTGTAACGACAAAGCAAACTAGAGTTCTTAGGATAAGATGAACAATTGCTTTATTTTGTATCTTTTATTGAAGCCCAGTCATCCAAAGTAAATCCTGTAAGAGAAGTATTGAAAATATAAATAGGAAGGAGCGACAAACTTACGTTGTAACTGTGATAAATGAGTAGTCCCTTAGCATTGGCCAATAGGACCATATGAACATTCTGATCAGTTTTAACTACAAATTTATTTAAATCTGTCCCCAGATCCGATGCCATCACTCCCTTTAATTTAAGATCTCTATCAAGCAAGGGCATAACAAGAGTGACTTCAATTTTGTCTTTGGTAAATTCTATGATAATAATCGATAAATTAATTACAAAGAAAGGGGTCGGTAAATTAATAATCGTAATCACTAAAATTCGATTGATCATACACGCTAATGCCTTTCAAAAACCAGGGTCTCTTCGGAATGTTCAATCCATAAATAGCGTTTTGGAAATTGGTGCAAGGGTATGAAAAGTAAACTTAAGGCTCATCTAAAGTTCCTACATAAAATAAGGATTTTATGTTTAATTTAGTGGCAGCCAAAATATGACCTATAGGATACATGGTTTCTTAGATCTTTAAATTAATTAATGTAACTTTGCTCATTGGATATGTTATGTTGGTTTTATTTGTATAGCACATAAATGAATGTGTTTTTTACAGTGATCCAGGTGGTTAATCCACAAGTATTTAAGGCATTTTCTTTGTACCTGCATAATCCATGTGAGCTCTATAATCCAAAGTAATGTTATCTTCTTTTTCAAGGTTCCTGTAAGATTAAGTGTAAATTTGATGAAGTATTTGCAATTAGTGGATATCTATTTCTATTTTTAAATTATTACTTATATTAAATATCCCATTTAGAATACCATCGTAGCTTCTCAAATGACTTTATAATGTATGTTTTGCATTATTATTGTATATCTCAAATGAGGATTGCTCTAACAGAGGAACGATAATAGCCATGTTGACTGAATAAATGCCTAAAACTACTCCAAGTATTAGGATAAAAATAATCGAAAATTAAAGCAATGCTTGATTTTTCATTCTGAGCTTCCAAAACCAATTATCTGAATAAATAGGGATTTCTTTTAACTCATTCAGTAGAACATTTTACTAACTTCCTTTCATCATTTATTTATATAATTATTATATATAAATGTCGCTCAAGAAATTAATGATTAATAATGTTAAAGGGATGAATCGTGACGAATTTAAAATATATATATTTTTTACTTCTTCTTGCCTGATATTGAAGTTACTATTTATCACAAATTGATAAATTGATAATCAAAGTTTTATTTAACTGCACAGAATATATAAATCTGTTCTATAAAAATAACTCATATTGTTTTTTTATACAATTTTATGCAATATAATTCATCATTATTCAGTATCTTAAACTGCAATGACTTCTACTTCTACCAAACCTCCTTTGGGTAATTGTTTGACTGCAATACAAACTCTGGCTGGATAATCGCCATCAAAGAATTTAGCATAGGCCTCATTCACCTTTGCAAAGTCAGCCATATCAACTAGATAAACGATGCATTTGACAATATTCTTGAAGCTAGACTTGGCTGCTTCTAACAAGATTCCCACATTCTTCATTGCTTGAGTGGCCTATTCTGCTACGTCTTCAGAAATGAGATTTCCTGACTATTATATGTAGATTAATGGCAATTACTTCAGGGACAATACCCAATTGACCTGACAAAAAGACTAGATGGGCTGTTGGAGCAATAATTTTAGCAGCTGAATAGGGACCGATGGCTTTGAATTTATCTGTGTGAACTGTGGTGACTTATTGCTGCATTAATTGGTATTAAATTTTTTTCAAAAATTTTATTAAAGATTTGAAATCATGGTAATACTTCTCTTAATATTCAATAGGGAAAACAACCAACATAAGGTTAAAAGAAAACCAAGGATTAGATATCTAAAGCTGCATCACAAAGAAGTAATTAAACAAAGAAGGTATTACATCCATTTTGATTATGCACAATAGAAATGGACCAAGGGAAGAGCAAAGGATAAGTTGAACAATGCCGTATTTTTGGATTCAACATCCTACAAATAAATTGAGACCCAATTACCTAAAATGGGAGCATTGATCACAGTCTCAACAGTATCAGATAAATTCAAAGTAAACGGGTAATTATTGCTCCCATAACCTTAATAATAGTTCTTTAGCCAGAAGATGCATCAGACACTTCGCAAAATCAGGTTTATTGGTTCCAGCCGGTGATTAAAACTCTAAATAATACATCTTCACTGTTAATGCCTAAGTCGTAGCTGCCCAAAAGGCTGCTGCCGCTGCTGCTGCTGCAGACAAACCATAAGCCTAAAAGAAAGCTCCAGCTAAGAAATGAGTTTATAATTTAAGTACATTACAAATAATCATTTATGTATTTATAAAAAGAAATTATTACAAATAAATGTAAACATGTCAACTTTGCTTAAAAAACACTGCCTTGATCTAGTTGATTTGCTCTCATCATATCTGTCTCAAATGCACAAATAAAACTAAGAAATTATAATAAAGGTATTTCTTTATCGTTTATCTATCAAAAAGCCAATTATAAAACAAATATTGGATTCAATGTTCACGATGTTAAAAGAAAACATTTAGTTACGACTTCTCGAATCTTCTAATTGAATCTCATGAATTGAGTTTACTCACTGATAGAAGCCAACATCAATTTTAATTGAATGAAGTAAAATTTTATTTTAATATCAACCTTTCAACACTTTAGAGTTAACTCATTATTGAACCACAAATCTTTTAACGTCGCAGATCCATGAATGCCATTGAATTATTCACCAAAAATACATCCCCAATCAGAAAAGACAAGTCAAAAAATCCAACTTAAAAATTAAAACAATCTATCATTAATGTTAATAAATAAAATGTTCTTAAATCAAGCACCCAACTCAAAAATACCTCAAACAAAAAGCCATCCCATAAGAGATGCCAAACTGGAATTGTAGAAAATAAACAAGGTATTTTAAAACATAAAATATCTTAGTCTTAAATAGTATGTTAAACTTCAAAAAATTAACTAAACAGAAAACTAGTCCTATTTAAAAATGCAATTCCATATTCGATTATCTATTGAGTCTATCATATCAACACACAAAAACATCAGATAGAAAACAGTTCAGTCTCGCCAACTCCTCGAAAGCTGACAACAAAAAAAATACTAAAAGCAGATGTCACAGCCAAATTTCAATCCAATAAAAAATTAAAAATTGATTCAAATCAATCCAAAAATTAATCTCATATATTATAACTTTTAATTTAGAAGAAACATCCTTAGCCTTTAATAACTATTTTATTTAATTGTCCTCTCTCTATACTTTATTTCAAATTTAATTGTCCAATTTATTTATCTCTTAGATCCTTAAATATTATCTAAATTAGGATTTTACAAAGTAATATTTCTGTCCTAGAAATATTCGAATGACTTGTTATTCAATTAGGGAAGGGAAAACTAAATAATTATATAGAGAATCTAGTCTCAGTAATTTTTGTATTTATTCTAAAATCATTATCGAAAAAGTAAGATAAAAATAATACGATGACTAATAAATTATAAAATCCATAAAATGATTAATATTGTCTCCTCTTCACCACTGTAACATCTTTACTTTCATATGATATTTAGTGGAATATAAAGTATTAAAATATTTAACATTCTAAGAATAATTACAAAATTATTTAATAAATTATCTTAAAAAATGGTTAAACCTCATTATAAAATTTATAATTTTAGATTTTCGGTTAGTGAAATGAATTGTTAAAATTGTTTGTGAAATGAAAATAAGTCAAATTCGAAACAAATCTTTGGTTTTTCACTTAAAATGGAAAAATTTTTATTATAATCCATTTAAAGAAATTAATATATTCTAATAAATGTGATATCATCAAAGTGAATATTAATTTAATTGCTCTATTCCCCATTAATTATTATCAAATATTTTATTACAATAAATTCTTGCTTGCTCTTTTAAATGTATATAGATTTGATTACAGAGTGAATGAGTATTCTGATTTATGATTTGATGAGTGCAACAAACAAACTATATTTAGTTTTCGTAACTTACAGTTGAATTGATAGGGTCTTGAATGATTAGATAAACTGATTGAGCATAAGGAAATTGGTGATAATGGGTGTATGTGAAATGAAGTAGAGTGAGGAATTGATTAGATAAGGTGGGAGGGATGTGAATATTAAAGTTAATATTAATTATAAATTAAATATGACTGATTAGCCACAAGCACCAGCAGATGTGGACATCTTTCAACAGACAATGGATAAGAAGTATAATTTGAATGTTTATTAGCTTAGTTCTCATCGAGCATCAATATTTGAAATAGTTTTAGAGAGTACAGTATTTTAAGTAATAATAAACATATTGACTCTGTATGCTCTTTTTGGAGATGATATAAGAGTAGCTGCGTTTCGGTTAAGTGCAGATATAGTTTTTGATGCTTTGAACATTACATGTTTGGTAAACACAGTTTTATTATGGAGTTTAGGTAATGTTTTCAACAGAAATCATACTGTCAGTCATAGTTAAAGAGGGATACTTTCTGTCCTTCTTCTTCTGGCTCGATTCAATATCAACAATCTCTTTATTGCTTGATATTAATCTTTTCAATTAGGCTGTTGGATTGAGTGGAGCAGGAGGCTAAGCTAAAAATACAGCTGGACTGGCAAGAGCAGGAAGAGCATCGAGAGTGGGAACTAAAGCAGGTAGAGTAGTTAGACTGGTGAGATTGATAAGATTGGTGAAAATCTATAAATCTGCAAATAAGGAAGATGATGATAAGGTTTAGAAATTGATAGCCCAAAGAAGATAGAAGAGGAAAGCTAATACAATCGAACCCCAAATCCAAGACAGGGCTGAATAACCCAATCCAGGATAAGGTGAGGAGGCTGAAACTAAAGAATCAAAGGTTTCAAAAATGTTATCAGATTCAACTACTAAAAAGGTTATCATTGTGGTATTGGCTTTATTGTTTCTGATCCCATTATTTTCTGTCGATTATTATGTGTCTCCACCAACTAGCATGTTGATGTAATCTTAATAATTTGTAAAACTGGCTGAATCTGAAGCATCCACATACGATGATGTTAAGGATGCATACAGTTAGATTATCATCGATCATAGTGGCATCGACAATTATATTGTGTTATTTACTAGTCCCTTGTACAATTATAAGGATTTTCCCATTTATCAGAATGATGACTATCCAAATCTAAGAACCGACGAATAGGACGTTGGAGCATATACTTTAGATTATGATACTCTCTTAAAAACTACTAATCTACCTGATGCTGCCATTGCATCATTTGAGTATTTTAAATAAATGATATTCTTTTAGCAAGGACAACCCTGATGTTGTGGGTATCTTGAGTACAAGATAAGCAGCTGTGATGACAAGTATCTTATCAATAATCAGAACTATCTTTGTGAGTATAGTCTTGACTTTTGGAGCAATGATGTTTTCAAAGGATTCTAATGATTTGGCATTGAGACCTTTGGAAAGAATGATTGAGAAAATTAATAAAATAGCCAATGATCCATAAATTGTTACAGAAATGGCTGTTATACAGAATGAGAATTCAAATGAAACCGTTAAGATTGAAAACACAATAGTCAAAATTGGAACATTGCTTGCCTTAGGATTTGGTGATGCTGGTACTGAAATTATTAGAATCAATATGAAAAAGTAAGGAGATGTCGATCCCATGTTACCAGGAATCAAAAAAGTAGCCATCTATGGTTTTTGTGATATCAGAAATTTCACTGATGCTACAGAAGTACTTTAAGAGGATGTCATGGTGTTTGTGAATAATATCGGAGACATTGTACACACAATGGTCGATAGATACATGGGAGCAGCAAACAAGAACATTGGTGATGCCTTTTTACTGGTGTGGAAGACTAGACCAGAAACTTATTCTTTTGAAGAAGACAACGTAATCTGGCACGACAAATAGTAATTCAATAGTATCATAGTCATAGATATATCTCAATCTTATCTGATTGTGCCTTGATTTCGTTTATGAAGATCCAATGCAAAATCAATAGAGAACCAAAGATTCTAGCCTATAGATAGGATAAAAGATTGTAGGCAAGAATGGACAATTACAAAGTCAAGATAGGATTTGGACTCCACATGGGGTGGGGAATCGAAGGAGCCATTGGATCCAACTATAAAATCGATGCTTCATATTTAAGTCCTAATGTTAACATGGCATCAAGACTAGAAGCAGCCACCAAACAATATGGTGTTCCCATTTTGATTTCTGAATCTCTTTATGAACATTTTTCACCTGAATTCCAAGAATATATCAGACACATCGATAGAGTTTGTGTCAAGGGATCCAACGTTCCTGTCAGTCTTTATACTATTGACATGAATGTGGACAATCTACCTCCTAGTAACGATCCATCAGTGAAATACAAGGAGTTCACTAAGGAAGAGTTGAAGATGATTTTAAGATAAAAGAAATTGGAAATTAAAGAACAGGTTGAAAGTGGAGAATTCAAAGCTATAGAACATATTCACGAAAACAAAGATATGAAATACTTATTGGCTGGATTCAAGAAAGATTTTATGGTAATTATTTAGTATATGGAGATTAGGAAGTGTTTGGTAAAGCCTTTTAAGCCTATTTGGATGGAGATTGGAAAACTGCTCGTGCCATGTTCCAAGAGGCTCTCAAACTCAAACCGAATGACGGTCCAACTGAGGCTGTCTTGCACAGCATGGAGGAAACCAATTACCAGAAGCCCAGTGATTGGAAAGGATATAGGGAATTAACAGAGAAATGATTAATTATAAATAATGAATAAGTTGACACTGAAGTTCTTTAACTCTTAATTGGAACTCTAATATCAAAATGAAAAAATAGGAAGACTCAGAAAACCTGTGTTTTATGTATTCATGACACTTGGTCTCATACTGAATGTTTCGAAAGTGCTAATCGATTTAGGCAAGTTGTAACTATCCTATCAATACATTAATTATATTTTGATTGCTCTGGCAGTGGTCTTGATCCTCATAAGTGTGAAATGGCCTCTCTACATCAGATACACACTGATGATTGCCAATATTTCAAGCTCCTTACTGTAGTTAAACTTTCCCGAAAATACCAAATCATAAATGTATTATAGCTATGGAAGTAATTTTATGGAATTTTAAGCCTGTGCTTATTTCGTCTCAGACTTTTTGGATAGTGTGGTCTAAGTCATATGTCACACCATAATTAAACTCATCATTACAATATAAACCACCCAGCATGTCGATCCACAAGATGTTCTCATGGGCATAGGTGCTGCTGTAATGATAGTGATTGTTATATACATCTGTGATGCAAATGCACGCAAAGAGTTCCTCTCCAAAATCTGTGAGAATGTCTTGGATAGATAATTATCTGAACTGATTAAACTTCCATTTTTCCAAGTCACTTACTGCTAAAGGCTATTACAGTTCAATTTTCTGAATGGCAAAGATTTACTTGAATTTCCAAACTATGATGAGGAACTTTGTGATGGGTGTAATGTTAGAAACCTTTTAAGGCAGTACAAAATTGAAGGACAAGAATTATAGGAGTTTTTAATCAAAAACTAAGAGGGTAGTGTAAAGATTGCAATTTCAAAACACAAATTCAATTTGAGAGTGGTCAATTTGGGCATAGATCATATAAACAAGATCGTAATTTTGGACAGTCAGCAATCCAAAAATATCTCTCTTAACTAATCTATAAAAAAACCAATCAAAATTTATATCTAGCAAACTTCACAGAAAAACAACCAGCTTTTCTTTAATTGGGGTATCATTTCGTTGTTGCTTGTCAATGATAACAAAATCTAAGAATTATCACTATTTAAAATCTTAAGTCGATTCAATAACAAATTTTCTAAATACTCCAAAATCAAATTTCACTTGAAAGGAGATGAAACACTCTCCATTTCGAGTTATTCAAATTTAATTAGGATTTATTTAATACAAATATACTAAATAATTACACATTTCTATGAATCTCAAGAAATCAAAAACAATAAATCATAAACCAAACCTAAAACTTTCCTAATCACAATGATAATCTACAAAGAGTGCGATTCAATTATCTTGTAGTTGCCTCTTACGATTAACCCAATGTTTTTCATTAGCAAATACTCCAATAATTTTTTCATTAGACAAATCGAACAAAAGATACTGAACTCTCCATTAACAAGTGATTTGAAAATCTATTTTAATACAAGCCTTCCTTTCAAATGAGTTTGAATTACATATGAAATGTATCTATTTTTTTTGTAACAAATTTTAATTGTTAAAAGGTTATTTAATAATTTGTTTAAAAAATTCCCGCTTTATGGCAAATAGAACCTACTTTAATCTGGATCAGAAAAGACTTTTTAAGCCTTAAGTTTAATAGGAGAAAAAGCAAGAAGTCGTTACGAAAAAGAAGGTTGAATCCAATAGCATAAATGAAGAACCATAAAAATAATTATGGGATATAGATTTAAAGGATTGTGTCACTAAATATAAGGATACTATTGGAAGTAAGAAGAGAAAGGAGTAACTCATTTTTAAGCCTGGAGGTAGTTTTATTAAGGAAAAAAGCGAGACTGAAAAATAAAAAACAGAAAAGGAACTAAATAAAGAGATTAATCAAGTGATAAGATAAACAACTAAAGAGTTTTTCGAAGAGATTTAGTTGGAGAAAAAACAAAAAGAAAACGAAAAAAACAAACTTAATGTATAAGATTAGAAGGAAAAATGTGATAGCCAAGATTAAGATTAGAAACAGAATTAAGAAGGGAATCAAATAAGTGAAGAAAAAATACAATCATAAAAGGAGAATATTGAAAATAATAATGTGAAAGAGGATTAAGGATTGTTAAAGAAAAAAGTAGGGAAATATTAAAAAAGCTAGAATGGCAATTTTGTTAGATTGGACCTTAAAAAAAAATATCAAGATAGATTTAGAGGTGCTATCTATATGAATCAAAGAAAATATAAACGAAATGGCACTTTGAAAAATCCGAATCCCTCTAAAAGAGAGCAAACTCAAATTGATTTTTAACAACTCAACAATTAAGGACGCGCTGAATCTTGTATTTAAATTAATAAGCTTTAGACAACATATTCATATAATCTGTCTCCTCAGGATTATTGGTTGACATTTTTGATGATGAAGAAAATTTAAAAGATAAGGAGAAACAAGATGATCTCATTAAAGAATTAGTTCAAAAAGTCAATGAGGATTTAGACAATAAGGAAAACTACTTAAATTTGCTAGAGTTAGTGTTTGGTTTTACAGAATTCCGTGAAGGTCAATTTGAAGCAATCTAAAGTATTTTAAAGAAAGAATCAATCTTATTGGTTTAAAAGACAGGACACGGCAAATCATTGGTCTATTAATATTTATCCTTGTTCCTCCAAGATAGTATAGGGATTATATTTTCCCCCTTAATTTCCCTAATGATTGATCAAGTGTCTAAATTGCCTGACTAAATCAAGGGCATAGCATATCACTCTATGCTTACTTCATTTTAAAAAAGTCGATTAATCGAGTTCATTAAAGGTAGGTAGGTTCAATTGGTGTATTGTACTCCTGAAATCTTTTAAAGTGACTTAGGCTATTCCTTAGAATACTTTGGAAAGATTTCATTTATCTGTATAGACGAGGCACATTGTGTATCTGAGCTCTCTCATTCTTTTAGACATACCTACGTGATATTGAACTCTATGATTTAGAATTTTTTGAAAAATGATATGCCTCCTTTTTTAGCTTTAACTGCTACTGCTACCCATTTAACTGTAGAGTCAGTCCTAAAAAAATTCAATATTAATAAATCCATTATATCGATCAACACTGAAAGAAATAATATCGAAATAAGTGTGAGTAGGGACAGAGATGTCAATGCATCATTGATTAAACTATTGCAGAGCTAAAAATATAAGAATTTATCATCCATTCTTATTTATTGTAGAAGCAAATACATGGTTGATATGGTATCAAATTACTTGAAAAATTGCAATTTGAAATGTCTTGGCTTTCATGGAGGGTTGCCTGAATAAGAGAAAATGGATATTTAAAATAAGTTTATTAGAAATTAAATTTAGATAATTGTTGCTACATCTATATTTGCAATGGGAATTGATAAATCAGACATCAGAGCAATTATTCATTTAAATTTACCCAAAAGTATTGAATCCTACATTCAAGAGATTGGTAGAGCAGGTAGAGATGGATAAACTGCATATGCTCATCTATTCTTAAGAGAGAATGATTTCCATTTAGAAAGATCATTTATTTTATCTGATTATCCAGATTTTATTGTAATGAAGAATCTATTAGAAAAAATGAAATAAAAGTAGGAAGAAAACAAAATTACATACTTCATTTCAAAATTTGCAGAAGAAAACTTGGACTTGAGAAAGGATACAATTTATTCCCTTATGCAAATTTTAGAAAGGTGTTCAGATGGTTGTATTAAAGTCTATCCAATTTGTCATGAGAAGATTGTCTTAAAATTCTTTAAAGCTTTAACTGATGAATAAAAGGAGAAATCAACATTTTTGAACGAGCTATCAAAAATTGGAAGAATGATTTCTGGTAGTCTTCACGTTAATGTAATAAAAGCAAGCAATGCTTTATCCATGCAACCCTTAGAAGTCATCAGATAAGCTCGAAATCTCTTTAATGAATTATCTATTGCCACAGAAACATAGGAGGAGATCCTACCTTTTCAAATAATGAAGGATTTTGATGTGAATTTATTAGAAAAGGCTAATGAGATCTTACAACTACATAAATCTGTAGCCTTAGATAAATTAAACTTAATGTATATCTTATCGTATGAAAACTCAGTACCAAATTTCGACTTATTATCTCAAAATCTAATCCAAACAAGAAACTTTTACTTTAATGAATATTTTAGATCTGAAAATCCAGTTGATGACATTTTGAGAATTTTATACGATGATAACAAATAAAATATTAATGAATATTTACCATTTGATGAATTGGATGATGATAAACATAGATAAATATAACAGGCAATTAAACGATTTCTGCATGAAGAAACTGTTAATAAAAACAATAGTGAAACTCATAAAATTATGTAATCTTACTTAAAGAATCCTAAAGTTTTGTCTCGTTTATTTTGTGGTATCCAATCGATCAAATACTCATATAAAGAATACAAAGCCTCATCTATTTGGAGTAAGAGTGGAAGATTAAAATATGAAGATGTACATAAATCTGTCCTTAACATTTGCTTATAAATATTAGAGTAAAGTTGAATTAAAATTACATTTAATAATTTTTTTATTTACATAGTTAATCTATAAATATTATTAATCTCAAATCTATTCATTTGCAAGTTTGTAATCAAAATGGTAATTTATAAATTTTCAATTCAAAACCACATAAGTTCTTTAGTTTTATACCTATTAGTAGTTTTGAGGTTTATTCATAAGAAGTAAATTCTTCTAGGAAACCATTTTCAAGTTTTAATTATTTATGAGAAATTTCTGGCATTAAATTGCTGATATTTAACGTAGAAGGGTACATTTACATTTTAACAAATGCGATCTCATCATCAAAATGGAGTTACTCCTTATTGAAATGACTCCCCAGTATAATACTTCTAAGTATTTGAAAATTACTTTTTGATAATAATTTAATTATCCTAAAATTAATTACACAAAGAATAAATTGATCTTTGAGCAACATTATTCTACCAGGTAATTTTGAAAACTACTTTGATAATTTCATTTTTAGAAAGGAGTGATAATTAGACCATAGTTCTAAAGTTGATTGTTTATCATTCAATAGGTAATAATTATTTCTTGAGAATGGTGTGAATTAGGAAAAAGTGAATCCTAGACGAAGTTATTCTATCTTCTATTCATTTTATACGTTATAAATGTGTAAATGCAGATTATCTTTTATTAGTAATGTTTAATCAAATAACCAAAGCTCACAATTCATAGATTAAATGTGAATGGGTATTGTTTTGAAAGTTAGATCCTATAAGTTAAGTAAGGTCAAATGATTACCATAGGAATTATAGTAAAAATAAGATGAATTATCTGAAAAGTATATCGAATTTGGTTTTATGTTGATTTTTGAGACGTTAAAAGTGATAATCAATTTAAATGATTGTAAGCAATATATTCTAAATTGGAAGGTTTCAATATCTTATTAAGAATTAGTGAAAATGGCAATATAATTAGAGTCATTTGATATCTAAGAATGTAATGAATTATTTACATTAAATCCTCCAATATCTTAATTGTTGTAATCGATTATATGATCACATGTTAGATGCAAGGTTTGATTATTATTTAAATGTTTCATATATTTTAGCTTAATTCAATGAAAATGTTTTATAATTATAATATAAATTTATGAAATAAGTTTGCAATTTATACTAATAGGGAAGGTGTGAAAAGGGGAAGAAATGCAAATACATGCACATGGAGGAGAAGGTTGAAAAACCAATTAATTAAGAGCCAAAAAAAGAGAAGATTTAAATGGTGGGCCCAAAAGTACATCATATAAAAATATTTAAATGGGCTGATTTATCAAAGTTGGCAGATTCATAGGAGATATTTCGGTATAATTAAGAGATTTTGGGAGGAGATTTCTTTAAAATTGCGAAAGAAATCAAGAATGATATGGAGAAAGACTTTTTGCAATTTTTTCGAAAATTTTAACAGAGCATAAAATTCTTGCCATAACCTTAAAGCAAACTATTAGATTATTTAAGAAACTAAGGTGAATTTTAAGTCATCTTTAGATTTGTGCCGTCGATTGATCGGAAAGAATTGGCATTTAAGGAATAAGTAAAAGAAAGATATTTTGAAATTCTCATATAAATAGATAAGAATTATCCGAAATCATCAGTAATCATTTTGAATTAATCTCTATCTGAATAGTTTAAGGAGATACTGTAAAATAGGATAAGCGATCAAATCAGCGAAAAAAAAGGATTATTTCAAGGGTTGAGATATATCGAAACTCATTTTGATGAGATTGTTTTAGGCTTATGATATTTATGCTTTTATAATTAAAAATAATTAATTATGATTAAATATAATAGTGAAAATCATTTTAAGTTTCATAATGTTAAAGTGTTTGATAAGGAGAGGATGATTTTGTATTTTAAGAGAATGCCAATAGAGTAAGACGAGAGTGACAATTTGTACAATGGATTAAATTAATTAATCATGAAGGAGAGGATAGAATAGACAAAGTAGAAGGTGGAAGAGGGCAAGTAGGTGACAAGCAGTGTGAAAATGGATTAAGGAGAGTTGCCTAAGAATAGAACATTGATAATAATGAACTTTGATTCTCCTTTTGATCGTAAATTTATAGCAAAGGTATTTAAACTATGTGGGATTATTCGAAGAGTGTATGTTGGATCAATGAAAGTGGCTGAGAACGGCAAAAAGAAATTATTACATGTTGGTTTAGTGGTTTTTAAGAATGAATATGATTTGACCAAATGTTTCGATATTGAATACTTCCAATAAAGAATCAATAATAAATTTAAAAGTGCTCCTATTTCAACTAATTATGAGAAGAAACTCTTGCAGAATTATGAAGTTGTAGATGAGAAGAAGAATTAAATAATAGAGGAGGCATAATAAGAAGGATATCAAATAGCAATGAACAAATTTGGTGATTTCGAAACTAATATAGAGAAACCAAAGTTTGAGAAGAGAAATTGGGTTGGAAGAAACAAAAATAAAACAAAGAAGAATGTAGACATGGATGAAATAGAATAAGTAATTTAGGGATTGGATGATAATCTACCTCATTAGAAGAAGAAGGATATTTTGAAAATGTAAAAACAATAACTTCAACAATAATTTCAATAGGATATAGAAAACTTAAGGTAGAAATAAAAGAAGGTAAAGGAATGAAATACAAATCGTATAATATAATTTTGTACATAATGTTTCATTATTATTCTTTTTATTATTATTAAATTAAGGGCAAGTCTATATCCCCTAGACAACCCTCATGCTTCAATAGCTTTTATGTTATCATATCAGCTTATTCATTCCAATTCAAATCTTTTAGAACATAAATATATATGATTGTCAAATACAAGTTGCACAATCCAAAACCTAACCAAATGCCAATTAATTCTAAATGGAATACATAGGCTAAAATTAGCACAACTGGAATTCCAATGATGTAGTATGATATCATGGTCTGATTGGATACAATTGTGGATTTGTTAACACCCTTTAGAGCTCCAGACAATGCTCCTTGAATTCCATCAAAACACACACTTCCCATAAGAAAATATGGGAGAGTTTCTAACATAATTTATTATATCTGGGGATCAGAGGAATATATGCGACTCCACTGATCCTGGAAAATGGTGAGTCCAATGACCAATGATATGAGCACTACTCCTTAGACACCCATGCCACTTATGATATATTATTTAGCCAAAGCGATGTTATGTTGACCTCGATTAATAGGGATAATATACTTAAACTGTTTCCAACATATGACATTAATGTTACTGATAAGCTAATTGGGAATTTGAAATAGATTGAACTTGTATTTGCAAATGCAAGTTGGGCATTAGCTTAATTCACTCCCAGAGAGTAGGCCACGAATGATAGTATATAAAACACTATGAAGTCAGCGTAAATGTGGAGGATCAATGGGATAGACTCTTTAACAAACATAATGTAAGTTTCCTTATACTAAAATATTTAGCATGAGAATTGGAAGTTGGCAAGCAAATCATAAACTTCTTGATGTTTGTAGATATATCTTATCAGCATAAATAATGTAAACAACTTGAAAATAATTTAAAGATTTTCTTACTTCACTTAGAATGATGGACAAACATAAACCAATATACCCTAGGTCGCAGATGAGGAATAGGAATACACAGGCAAGTAGGTGGAATATAAGTGTGGATGCATAAATGAATGGAAAAGGCTGAAAAATCCTGCATCCAACAAGATATTATTTTAAACATTCAATTTGGAGGAGCAGGAATGCGGCTATGAACAAAGGAATGATCATTTGCCTTCGTAGCTTGTTTATTTTATTTGATATACCATGCATATTATGTAATGATCTCAGTGTCTTCTTGTACAACGAATTAAACCAGGTATTGAGTATTGTAAATGAATAGAAAAAAAGGTATGGATACAAATAATATGGAATAAATCGTGAAGTTTAAGTAAATCTATGTGAGCTTGTGCTTATTTTATCCCAAGGCATGTGAGACCTGATTATTGAGTCCTTGGTTGATACCTATATAGCATGTGAAACTAAACCTAAGCCTAAGGGGACGAACAACAATTGAATTAACATCCATGCTATCCCATAGGAGGCTGTTTAATATTTGTCAGTGTATTGTCCCATGAAATGCAGATTGAGCATCGACATCAGATCGATACAAATGTAACCGCTCACAATCTGGAACATGCTTGTTGAGACATTATAAGTAATTGATCTCCAATCATTAGTAATCAATAAATTATCATTATACATTTTATAAAAATGAATTAACCCTTTGATACAGAAGACTCTATAAATTCAGATGAAGCCATCAAATCAATCGAATGTAAATATCTCACTCCCAACTTCCATCCCAGTCTCGATGATAAAGGCACCTCAGTTCATAAAAGGATGAATGCAATAAATTCAATGAGGTGTAAATTTAAAGAGTCTTTGGTCTCTAAAGACGAAGTATTCACCCAATCCTCTCCCTTCAAATCAACCAATGTTATTTCGAGTCAAAATGGATAACCACAAAGTGACTTGCCATCCTCGCCTCTCAAAGCAGAAGATTTGACTAAACAGGACAAAGTGCATCTGGCTGAATCCCGTAAAAGACACAATACCAAAAATTCTATTGAATAATTCTAAGAAAAGCAAATACAACAAAATCAGAGGAAAAGTCAACCGCATTCGTAACCTAAATAGGTATAAACTCGTAAACCTAAAAAATAAATTTATGTAACTTAGATTGTAAATGATCATTGTGAAATTACAAGTTTTCCAATCCCAAAACCCCAAAGATTGTCAAGGATTATCTAAAATAATGATGGTCATCAATCTTAAAGAGGAAGCTCTGCATCTACTCCAAGAGGTATCCTCAAATCTGGCTCATTTGAAGTTTTGAGAATTGGCAGTAGACCAAGTACTCAAAGTCTCAACAGTCCCATGATGAGACCCAGCAGCAAAAGGGTTTCCTTTGAATTTACAAGCGAATAATTAAGGAAAATGAAAAACAACTGTGGGAGTTCAGATCATAGTAAATATTAGAGATTGAAAACAAAATTCAAGAAATGATACCTTCTTTTTATTTTCTGTCTATCTTAATCACTTACGCAATACTACACCTTATAAAATATTGATTAAAATTAATTAAATTTAAATTTGAATAATAATGTCAACAGATAACACAGAATTGCTATCAAAGTTTCTTAATGATTATAACCAATTGAAGAAATAGAACTAAGAATACCAAATGAAAGAAAACACAACCTTTTAAACATTATCTAATGAAAACTCCCTCTTGACTCAAGAATTAAATCGCATCAAAAAAGAAAATCAAAGATTAATCGACAATAATGCATTCTTAACTGATCAACTCAATCAATTAAAACTCCTTTACTCAGAAACTAAACAAGAACTGCAAGAATCCTTTAATTTTATTCAAAACATCAACAAAACTATGAAAACTGGAACATTTGAAAATGAAGACAAAGAACTAAACAAATTGATGGAGATCTTTTCAGTCAGCTCTGTAGATTAATTAATAATAACTGCCGAAAAGATTAAGACTGTGATGTTGGGAGTTTCTCATTTAGAACAGTTTTGCAGATCAATTTGTGAAATCATTTATGATTAACATGAAGAACATTACAATTTGGATTAAGTGTTCCCTATTATACAAAAATGGAAATGCGATTCCAAATATGTAGATTGTTTTTTATTCTTCAAAAATCAATTAGAATAAACATTGCAATTGAAACACTCTACTGATCAATAAATCATAGATGCAATCAAACAACTATAAAACACTTAGAATCATGATCTACAAACAATCAAATCGTTATTTAAAATAGATACCAATGACAATTTTATGTTCAAAATCAATCAAATCTTCTTACTACTTCAAGACATCCAACAATTCACCAAAATTGCCAAAAGACTACTAGATTTGGATGAAAATATGAAAAACGAAGCATGTATGGTCTACATTTTAAAATTGTTGGAGAAAATGAAATAAAGCCAATTCAATGATCCAGATCTAATAATTAAAATAATGAAAATCATCAAAGTGGATCATCCATAATAAATAATATCGAAATTGGAGTAATTGACAAATTGATTATTATATATTAAATATGATTAAAATTTTAAGAAGTCTTCGCTAAACAAATCATAAATAATCTTATGGCTTATTTGGATGGTTCAAAAAAAAGGAGGAAAAGGTCGATGATTCAGCTTATGATCCTGAGACTTGGAAACAATTACAACCTGCTTTTAATAAAGTAAAGGAGGAAAATTAAAATAAACCAAAATTATTGCCAATCAAAAAGAAATAATATTCTGATAAATTAACTGTTGTTATGGAATTAGATGAAGTCCTAGTATATTCATTTGTTCCAGACCCAAAAGATATGTTCATGAATGCACCCTTGAGACAATATGATTTTTACATTGATCTGCCTGAATTCGATAATTTTGTTCATGTTTATAAGAGAGAACAGTTGGATGAATTTTTAGAGTACTTCCTCAATCACACTGAGCCAGTTATTTGGTCAAAAGGGTCAAGGATTTATGTTGAAAGAGTCTTAGAAAAACTATGTCCATAATTTCCTAAAGATCACATCTTCTGTTAGGAACAATGCAATCTAGTTGAAGAAGATGATTTAGAAGATTATTTTAAAGATATCGATCTTTTAGGTAGAGATAGAAAGAAGGTAGTCTATGTTGATGCTAAACCATTAAGTTTTTGGACTACAGGAGATAATTGTATTCTCTTTGTTTGATATATGATAGCAATTCCTGTTAGAATGTTTGTGGCAGATAACACAGACACTAAAGATGACTTATAAAAATTGATGAACATACTTGAGAGATTAAAGTAGGAGAATGATGTGAGAGATTACTTGAAGAAGATCTATAAAGTAGAAGAAACACTTAGAGAAACTAAATTTATTGAGTGATATTGTGATTTATAATAAATCAATCATTTAAATTTATCTTTATCCTTTTTCTTTGCCTCGTCCTTTTCTTCAATGTTAATCAAAATACGCAAACAACTTGGTGTTGATGAATTCTCAGTAACATAAAGAATGTTCGATTTTTAGCTTTATAATAAAATGAAATACAAACCTTGAAAATGTTAATCCTGATATTTCAGGGCATTGTGGAATGGAAACATTCTCCACATTCAATCCGTTTGCATTAAATATGCTTATCTACCCTTCCTCTGAAACATGTCCAAATTCAAATCTGGCAACATATAGATGCTCTGATTATGATACTGCACAAGCAATGGGACCAAATCTACCATTTAATTATATATAGGTGCTAATTGAATTAATATAGCTTCTGTACCTATAGTAAAAGATGCCTGCATCAGTCTAAACAAAACGCAATACTCTATTTTTTCCTGTCTCACACAAATACAATAATTGTTAATTATTGCTCAAGCATATACCACTTGGATAAGATAAACATTATAATGCTAAGGGCTTAACAATTTAAGCATCCATGTCAATAGCAAATAGAGATCCCTTACAATTTTCAATTGAAGTTTCACCAAATGGTCCAGAATCAGTAAAGAATAACAAATCTAATTACACTAAAAATTACTATTTTTGGTTGACAATAATAGCGAATTAGGTCCCAATAATGGTTATCCTTCATAATCTTTCAAATATTCTACAATTTGTTCTTAACTGTTCTCATCAATATATCTCTTTAAAATTGCCTAGTGAGCCATATCAGCCACATATATAAATTTGTTAGGCTTGTCAATCACAATTGAGTATGGCTATCCAGATATATGAAACTCAGCCTACTTTCATGTATGTACTATACCTTGAATTATCCATCCTTGAATTTCAAAATGTCTCCATTTTGTGAAACCATATATATGGCTCCATCAATCTCTAAAGGGAAATAAAGGGGACTTGCCAATTCACAAATCTTCTCATAAGGCACAGCACTCATTTCTAATTTATATTATATATTAATTAATATAGTGTGTTAATATATTTAGGAATCAATAAAAATAAAAAAAGAATCACCCATGGCAGGGATTGAACCTGCAGCCTACAGCTTAGAAGGCTGTCGCGCTACCAATTGCGCCACATGGGCAACGTTAATATATCTCTCTCTGATCAACTATTTATAACATTTGGATCGGCTATTATTTACTAATCTTAAACTATTAATTAAAATAATAAAAGTTTAACATTATCCCATAAACTTAAATTATACTTATAAATTTATAATTTTGAGATGAACCTTATATATACAATAATTCATTTGAAATCAAGAAAAAATGGGACATCCAACTCACATGTATGTACAAGACTAATTTCTGTTTTGCTTAAAAAGATATCCAAAAATAAGATTTGGTATTTCAAGAGGTTGGGATAGATCAAGTTTTCAATTTTTTCTAAATCAAATTAACTTATTAATCTTATCTGATAACAACTCTCTTAGGTTAAATTGCAAGTCAACTATAGTTTATTACTCTATACGTTGTCCGTGATAATCCAGAATATTAAAGCAAATAGTTTTGGATGAGTAAAAATTGTATGTTATAAGCTAAGATTAGTCTATACTCGTATATCCAAATTGCTACAATAACTTAACAATTTCCTAATTAGACCTAGAACTTAGATCTCCTTATAATTCTCGTAAAGGTTGATATTTTCATTCAATATTAGGATAAGGGCTTTCCTCTGTATTTTCAAATATTAGTAATTTGATTTCGCATAGTATTTCAATTTCTTTGCTAATCTAATTATAAGATTCATCAATTATAGATTTCTGTTTAATAACAGATGCTTCTATAATATGTTCACTTTATTAAATTCTTTGAATGTTAATAGAGCTTTTAATGAATTAGTTTAAAATAATGTTGATGTAACCAAAAATGACTTTTTTTAATATCTGATTATAAACTCACTACTACTATTAGCTGAATGATCTTAATTGTAATTGAAAATTAACTAAAACAAGTAACTCTTCAGAGGAACACTATCAACATAACTATTGTTCATGAAATCATTAGACTCTTAAGAATTCAAAAATAAGGACTCACATTTATTGGAAGAAGACATTTGACAACTTAAGCTATCTTCCTAAAATTAGACTATCATGTATGGAAACTCAATGGAGAGCTTCTTTAACAATTCTTCAAAACTGGAATCAACAAATGATAATAAAAACTAAGACCTCATTCCTTTGTGAAATTAGTAATTAAAATAGTTGATGTAGAATATTAGCAAAATTGTTGATACTATGGCCGACACTTGAATCTAAGTACTGTACACTATTGCCCAAGCTATTCTAAATATACTTAAATTCACCAAAGTGATTATGCCGTCAAGATATTCCCCTATGAGGACCAACAAGTAGGTTGCCCCCATTTGATTAACTCCCTGCAACATAGCCATCTAAGGGTCTTTTTTGGCCTCTTGTGCAAACAAATATATATTCATTATGTGGTTTACCAAAACTAAGGCCAATCGGATATATTATGGATAGAATCTGACGAATATCAATTAAATGAAGAAGTAGCTGAGCAAAATAGAACTACTAAGTAATGAGTAATTATTTCCTTCCATTCCTGCTTAAACACATTTTATTATGAATATGATGGAAAGTCCAAGAGTCACAACGCAAAATGTAGTCCACCTTCTAACCTTTAATAGTTATCTTTAATATTTTTGTTCAATTTATGCATCCTTAAAAGCTAATGTATATTTATTCATTAATAATAATAATTATATATATATATCATTCAAATAAATTAAGACTCTTTATTAATCGCCTACTAAATGTACTTTAGCGATACGAAAGACATAATTTAAAAACGAGGTAATTTTGATTTTATATTACATCGTTAGTTTCAGTGCATGTTCACTTAAATAATTTTGATTTTGATAACGAGTAACCCTATTACAACTTCATTGAGTGAACAATATTAAAGGACTGCTAAATTTACACCTCAAATTAGAAATAACCTACCTAAAAAATAAGGAAGATAACAATAAATTAATTTTAATAAATCAAATATTCCAATAATTTTTTAATTTTGTTCCTAACTAATATTTATAAGTTATTTGGTTCTTTTGTAACATATTTAATTAAAATTTCCATTTTATTTATTTTATTCACAATCTTCCAAAAAAATATTAGAACTTACTAAAAGTTACTAAAAATTTAAAAACCTTCAAATATAACTTAAAATTTTATTTATAAATAAAAAATTATAATAATGTTTTTATAAAAGAACTTCAAAATAGGTGCTATTAATTTCGATTAAAATTACTTTAAACTTATTCTAAATTCAATCTGAATTATGAAATTAGATTTATTAATAAGAGAAGATCAAAACATTAATTTAATTTGCACCATAAGTCCAAATCAATTTTATCAAAAGTAAACTTAATAAAACGAAAATATTAGGCGAAATTACTTTTAGAGAATGTAAAGCATAAGATATATGGAATCCTTAAACTGAAGTTAGAATACAATTTAAAACAACCGTTAAATTCAATTAAACTGTAACCTGGATATAAATATAGGAAAATATAATATTAGTTGTTTCAGTAATCAGATTTTCCATAATATCAATTATTGTGTATAAATATAAACCAAGTAGTGCATAATTTATTTGAAAACATTCATCCTACGTACAAGATAGAACTCCTTATTCGTGCAATTGTTATTATTTGAGATTCAATTATTAGATTTAACCTAAATAATGTCAAACCATTAACCGATTCAATATAAATAGGCTAATTGATGGCAGATTTATATTCAATTTTTGAATAGTGGATGGTATGTATTGTCTACTCAATAATGGATGTAATTAAAGGCTAGTAATGGTAAAGATAATATAATATTTTTTAGAAAAGATATGATAATCATTAAAATATATGATAATTAATACTTAGCAGATGAAATTATGATAAATAACTTTTTGAAATAAACAATCATTCTTTTTTGTAATTGAGTCCATAAAATTCTGAATCAAATTTTTTGAGTGCCTGTGTGTTTGTATTCGGATTTTGATCCTCTTCAATTTCTAAAGGTTAATAAAGAGAAGATTACTTTCATCCAGAATTTATGGGTTGAAATTAGATAAATCTGTGGCTGATTATAAATCAGGTATTATTGGAGCTTAAATCTAAAATTAGGATATATATATAAATTATACTTCTTTCTAGAGCAGTCTTTAGAAATCCATCTTTTTAAACCAAGGATGCTTTTTGATTTCTTCTGCATCGCCTTTATTTCCCAGTCTTTCATTAGGTTTCTTCTTTAATAAAGCTGTCAACAAATTCTTACAATCAAAAGAGAGATTTAATGTTGATGGGAATTTCAATTCAGATTCGACAATGTTTCTAAACATTTAATTTCTGTTTTCTGAAAAGAATGGAGTTCTTCCACACAACATTTCGAATCTTAAATATATCAATTTATATACATAAGAATGCCTAAGCACCACCAATCAGCAGTGAAGGCATGTCCTTATTGAGTAATTACTTCTGGGGCTAAATATTCAGGAGTTCCAACAATTGATTAGGTGACTTGACCTTTAGATAAGAACTTAGCTAATCCATAATCTGTTAAAGCAACATAGCCTTTTTCATCCATCAAAATGTTTTCTGGTTTCAAATCTCTATAGATAATTCCTTGTTTATGGAGATACTCCAGAGCCAACAATACTTAAGATGAATAGAATAATGCATAATCTTCATTGAATTTATTCACTTTTTATAGATGAGTATATAATTCTCCTCCTCTATTGGATACATTACTATTTCATACATCATAAACTTCATAACAAAATACACACACTCTTAGGTGATAAATGCATATTCCAAAGAAACAAGGAATGGATGTTATGTTTATTCCAATATTTTTCTCTCTGTTTTTAGATACTCAATATGATCTCTTGAGATGATGTCCTCCTTACGTAAACTCTTTATGGCAAATATTTCTTTTGTGTCTTTCTTCTCACATAACATTACCTTTCCAAATGCTCCTCTTCCCAACATCTTAATCAATGTAAAATCTTCTATGCTAATCTCCTAAGTATTAGACTTTTAATAGATTGTTTGCACATTCCCTCTGGCTGCTTACATAGCAATTTTCACGTCATCCACAGTCATTTCTGATCCTTATTTTGGTAGCTATCTACGAATGTTCTTCTTAATATCATAGTTGGTTGTTGTATATTGACTCAAATTCATTTCCTCTATGAAATGACATCGTATTTTTTTTAGATTATGTCTTACGTACACTTCACACAAGGTTTGTATAATCAATGATAATCTAATCAATAAGAGCAGCTTATTACTAATCATCCACTTGATATCGTTGATCGTATTCTACTGGAATATGTAATATGAATTCCTTTACTATTTTAGAAATAGTGATTGAAGTTATTGCAGATAATGGTATTTTTCGCTTTATCCTTGATCTGCAAATTAATTTCAATTCTCTTACTTATTAACCAAACTTTAAAAAAAACTCTTGACGGCACTCCCTTCAGAGGGTGAAATGTTATACACATTTTTATTTGTTATGGCCTATAATATTAAGCGATGATGATGTACAATGACTCTTGGTAACTTTTTGTTTTGCCCTGTAAATTTTATTACTTTCATTGTAAGTACTATGGTTTCACCTCCTTCCAGTTACTCTCGCAACTTTTTGTCGTTCATTACCTACTCATAATCCATATTTAATAATATATTTTATGAGATTAACAAGTTGCCATTCTTTCTTCCTCTTTACCCCCTCTAATTTCATACACATTAAAAAAAATAGCCAGTTGGGGGAATTGAACACCCGACCCTTTGCTTACGAGGCAAATGCTCTAACCACTGAGCTAAACCGGCATCATTGAATTCCACCATTCCCACTTATATAAATCTCTATTCTCGATTAATCATACATATTCCATACATCTCGATTTTTAATTTGCCATTCTGTCATATGCATTTAATTTGCGTTTCCCCTATCTTAACTTGTACAATAGACTCTAAATGCATAAAATCGATCGTCTCTCTTTCCTTACATTCCGTGTTACGGTTTGCATAAAATGAATAAATCAATTTTATCTGCAAAGTTCCAATAAAAACAAAAAGAATACAACTATCAAATATGGCGAGATGAACATTATATTGAGATTTGAGCTATTAAATTTATATTCTACTTTAATGCTAAACATATAATTTAATATTTAATAAATAATGATTAGAATTAATAATATTCTTAAAATCTTGATTCCTCTCATTATATTAATTAATTTTTTAAAGCACATTATTTCAATTAAATCGAATGGGGAAACCTAAAATATTAATAAAAAATTTGTATGAAATTTTACAGGTAACCTTAATTAACCTAACACATAGTCAGAAAAATTTGATTGTATTAGATGGACAGATAATGGAAGGGCTTTTATAATTGTTGATCCTGAAGAATTTTAGAAGTCAATTATGCCAGAATATTTTTATTCAACACAAATAAAGTCACTCTATCGATAACTAAATTCCTATGGGTTTAAGATGAGGAGTTTAAAAATTAATTAAAAAATGTTTTCACATAAATGGTTTATCTAGGGAAATATGTATTCCATACTTATTAATTTTAAAGATCCTCTCTCTACAAGGTAGAAAGGCAGAGAACACGCAGCATAGCCCATCTAGACAAAGAAAAGGATTCGATTGCTATTATGAGGGAAGAAATGAAACAGTTAAAAGAAGAATTAGAAACCTTATAAATTCAATAAAATTCTATACTAAAACAAATTAGAATTCATTCAATTATATAGACTTACATCTGCAAAAACATAAAAAAGATTTGCGATGAGCAAAAGAAGTTCAATCTAGAAAGAGAATAGGAAACAAAACTGGTAGTGTATTTCACATCAATGTTCGAAATATTCAAAGGCTTCCAATTTGAAATAGCATCTAATATAATCCTGTAATTAAAAGACATAGGAGGACCCTAAACTCCTTCCTTTTCTCCAATGATATTTCCATATGTGTGATTAGTAACAAAGAATTATAATATGTCAATCTATTAATATACTGATATTTGCTTAATCTATTTGATAAATTTTAGTTTAACACAAAACAACAAGCAACTTTGTTTCTTCGAAAAATATAGATGAAAATTTTGTTGTTTTGGTTTTATCTATTGTCGATTACAAAGATAGAGTTGCCTTATATTTATTTCAATGATAAACAAATTCATAAAGAAATCTTAGTTTTTATAACATTAAGTTTTACTCAAAAAGATAGGTTCATCATTCTCAAGGTATTGCAGTGGAATAAGATACATTAAAATGTTAATCTATTACTTTTTAGATTCATTATTGCGATTCTAAGATTTCGTATATTAAAATTTAATCCTTTAAATAATAATAGACCCCAATTTCATAATTATTTGATTATCAAAATTTGAATTAAATTAATAATTGCAAATAAGCTGACCAATAAGTTTGTTTTTAAAAATATAAAATACTATATATATTAATATATATTATTATAATTTCTTTGATATAAAATTGAAATGCAGGATTAAAGATATTAATGCTTGGTTGAAAAATACCATTTTTAATTGGAATAGTTCAATTTCAATAAGGCTTTTGTAAAAAGGTGTCTAGTATCAAAGGATTAAAGATTTGTTGCAATTAGTGTTAGGGGATGTTACGAGAATGTATCGAAACAAAATTACCATTACTATTATCAAATTTGGAGTTTGGAGGAAAGAAAGTGCGTTAAAACATATCAAATAATATTATGTTCTCCTATATCCTAATTCATGTGCGGTTTTTCTGAGTGTTCCAAATATTTTGTAAGTTTTAATTGCAATTGTGAAATGACAATCGTCCAATTAGAAAAATAAAAGGAAAGCTTTACGGTTAGTTTGCCTGGACACTAAGTAATAGATAAATTAATGATTCACTCAGCTTTGGTGTTTATTATTGTAGAGAGACTGATCTAAATTCACAGTTTAGTAAATGGCGCACTTATATAAAAAATAGAGCTTTAATTTCAATAGGAGAATTTTACACCCCTGAGCTCATTTAGATTTCTAGTTTCAAATAAAGAAAAAAAGTCAATATAAATTTGGAGATGGATAGATTAGGGAATAAAATTATTAAAAGAAATGTTCCCAAAAAATAGTTACGATGAATTACTTAATTTTAAGAATAAGATTATTATTGGACAATAGCAGACGTGCATCCATTTACTTTCTCCAACCAAATTACATATCATTAGGAATATTAGCATAGAATATCAATTCCACAATATTCTTATTGACGAAAATATCTCTATACTCAATATCTATAGAAGTGTTTGTCCAAAACAGAAAAAAGTCGTTTATGTTAATTGTTTTCCCAGAATTCAAATTTATGAGTCCAATCACCTTGACGATGTTGATTATACCTTTGAAAATCTATACTTTTATTCGGGAATCATGGTTGGATGGGATTATGATAATCCAAATAAAGTAGGATTTATGATATATAAATTTTCAAAATGATAAATCTTTGAATTAACTTTTATATAATCTATATATAAAAACATAATTGATATATCAAAATAAAGCTTTAGGAGGAGTCTTATTAACTAAATCTACTATAAATTTCATATGATTTGTCACATTTTATAATGGCAATACTGCTTTCTTACTATTATTGTTAGAATTGACTGTTGTACTTGCCATTGATTTTGTTGGCTTATGATATGATACATTTTAGTTCTATCGAAGTGGCGTAGTTGTCTATGTAGAAATTCGTTATTCGGTTCTTTACGGTGTTCTTGAGGTCGATTTCCCTATGATTCGAGGTGTGTACTGTTATTTCAAATTTGGGGAGATGGAGCGCTCAGGTGTTTTGCTTTGACATGCTAATTTAATGGAATTTGAATTGATTTAGGGACAGAAGGGTGTCTTTTTCAATTCCTCAATCAAATGATGCTGTCCTTTAATTTATTTATGAATTTGACTCTTTTGGCATCTTTGAAGTAATGAGGAATTCTAATCAGAAATAATTCGTTGTGATTTCTTATTAATTTTTGGTTTGAATGTCAAGCCTTTCGATTCTTCCTGCTTCTTTTCTTATTGCATTTAATGGATTTGTTCATTCTTTCTCTCAATCCAATAGTCAACTTCTTCTAGAAATTGATCAACTGTACGATGATCTCTATCCTTATTGATATTTGGTCGAAATGAATATTTGCTGCATTCCTATTCTTCATTCAACTCTTTCTATCGTTTATACTCTGCAATTTTCTCTTGTTTTTCCTTCATCAAATGTTGGGCACGTTAATAAATAGGGATATGATTCATCTTATTAATTATAATAATACTCAGTTAACGAATATATTGTTATTTGTAAAATAAACTTAATTATCATAAAAAACAAAGAAATTAATTATACGCATATTCAAACTGACTTTAAAGTGACCTAATTCAATTGTTATTTGATGCTTTGGAATTTGGACACCATTTGTACAGATACAGTTATGGAATTTAGAAAAAGAGTATTGTAAAAAAGATAATAATAAGGTTAATTGCATAATAACAAAATTTATTATTAATATATGAATTAGTTTTATAATTATTCTAGTTAATTAATATTAAAATCTGTTAAAAATATAGTTGTTAATAATGAAATCCGATTCTTTGGCAGTAAGTGCTTATATTACTATTAGGTGAGAATTACCAAATAAAGAACCCAATAGGTAGAGGGGCTGGTAGTTTTGTGTGCAAGATTGTGAACCGACTAACCAAAGTGGAAATGGCTGCTAAGATCATTTAGAAAACATCTTCGAACTCACACAAAATATAGAATGAAGTAGTAATTCATTCTGAATTGCATCATAAAAACATTGTTAATTTGATAGATGTTTTTGAGGATGCCGACAACAGTTATCTCATAATGGAATTATGTGATTAAGACATTTATTAATTAATTAAGAAAGGGTAATTTAATGAATAACAAATACGTTTTTATGGTAAACAATTGGCAGAAGGTCTGCAGTATTTGCATTCTCACAATATCATTCATAGAGATATTAAATTAGGAAATATTCTAATCTAGAATGATATTCTGAAAATTGCTGATTTTGGATTGGCTGTGAAATTGACAGATGACGAAGAAGAAAGAAACACCCTTTGTGGTACTCCAAATTATATCAGTCCGGAAATCTTAAATTAATAACCATATGGGAAAAAGGTTGATTTGTGGAGTATGGGTTGTTGTCTATTTGCAATGGCAACTGGTCGAGGACCATTTGAAGAAAAGAATGCAGCCTTGGGAGATGTTTTGAGAAAAGTTAAATAAGGCGATTTTGAATTACCTGCAAATTCTACTGAAACCTTTAAGGACTTAATAATGAACTTGTTGAATCTAGATGCTGATTAAAGATATTCTATTGAAAAAATAATAAAACATCCCTTTTTTGTAGATCCTATCCCTCCAAGAATTCAAAGCAGAAATCAATCCAGCTCTTAGATCAAGTAACTTTTGGATTTGAGTCCATTTGTTAAATAATAGCACAGATCCACTTGTTCTATGATTGGATTGGATAAATAATAAGTAGTAGCACAGTTCGTATAGAAACAGCAATTATTGGGTGGAAAGAAGTTGCTTTTTGGAATGACAACCAATGGAAAGATTGCACTTAAACAAAATTATCATCTTGATAATGTGCCTAGATTCTTTTTACCATAGGAATCGCACTCTAATAATACAAGTTGCAATCATCATAATAAAGAAAACATCAATAAAGAAAATATCAATAAAGAGAACATTAGAGAGAATAGTGTTAAAATTAATAAATAGAATTCGTCAACTTTGTGTATTTTCAATGAATCTCCAATAAAGTTAGGCGATTTAAAATCCTGTAAATTGTAAACAAAAAATGGATTATTACAAATTCATGAGGATGGTCGATTCGAAATGGATGTCAGTAATAAAGATTTGAATTTTATTATCTAAAAAAATGGATAAGAAGTAATTTGTTTATTTTAATATATTTATTAGATCGTTGTATAAAAAAAGGGTTAGAAGGCCAAATAGTATTAATTATGTGAGTTACCTCAGAAATTATAGAAATTTTATACATATTCTAAATAAGTGTGTAATGCAATTCGAGAAAAAAACTAGAAATAGAAACTTAACAATGAACATGGCAATTTTGCCTTAAAAAATACCAAATTAGGGTAATGCTATGAAGGATATATTGCATAATCAAAAATTAAAGTACAATTATTATAAAATTCTAGATACAACATATCCTAAATTCAGACTCAATAAAATTATAATTTCACAATGGGAATACTAAAATTGTGAACATTCATGACTTCTAGTAGCTCTCAACATAAGCAAAAATGGATCCAAATGAAGTGTACTCAATTAAAATTGCACTTAAATACTTACCTTAATGTTAGTAGTGATAGTTAAAAATTTATTATATTTAAATGATACTAGTCTCTAGATTATTATTTTACTTTTTGCAATTATATCCTGAATTTATGTGTGACAATAATGACATTAGTCTATTTTATAATTTTGAGTATATACAAATATATTATTCAAATTAAAGTTATGTGTATTAATTTGAGAATAGAAAAGTTTAAGTTTTATATTCTTTATCAATTTAAATTAAATCCCAGGATTAAACAGTGATATTGGCATACTTTGGGTTGAAATTTAAATGGTTGAGATTCTTTAGTCTGTTTTTAGTGGTTTCCTATTAAATTCATTTCAAAAGATGACTTATTTAAAAGGATTACTCTTTTGAATTCATCATTTAATTAAAATCTGAAATGCTTATGTAACTTTCGTTTTTGAATAGTAAAATACTCTTATGGCAACGCAAATTAAAATTAATGAGCAACTTTTTAGAGCATACAAAAATTATTAGGATAAAGAATTTGAAATATCATTAGTCATAATAATTATTCAACCAAATATTCAACAAACATTCGAGCATTCTGGAGTAATGTTGTTCGTGATGTTATTTGAGATATGAGATCATCTTTTTCTGCACTCAACATATTACTAACATTTTTCTGTTGCTCACACAAGGTTTCCAATTATTCCTATGGAACATTTAAATGTTTGTAATTTCTAAATTAATAAGATAGTACTATCCTAAAATTTCCCATCGAAAGCGTAAATATTTATAATATCGATTTTTCACCATAGCCAATGTTTTTCCGTGAAAGTGCCTATGAATCTTCTAAAATTTAGGTCCGTTTTTATGCACTAACTATAAAATACGTTTATCTTCTTCAAGTGAAAACTTTTGACCAGATTTCTTGTTACTTGTACCATCAGAGCCCCTTCTTTTTTTTCTATGATAATCATATTCGTTTTTCTTTTTTTGCTTTTTTTGGATTCCAATTTTATTAGGCAATCCATTTTGAGATGATACTTCTGCATTCTCTTACATCATCATTACTTTCTACTATTTTAATTAATTACAATTCTTTATTAAATTTTTAGTTTAGTGCTCCTATTAAATTAACTTTATTCATACCTTCCCACAACAAAAATGAAATCTATCACAAAAACATTTCAAATCTACATTATTTTATTTAAAATATGAATTATCTTAGCTAATATATAAAAAATTAGAAATTTATAAAAACGATAAATTTTTAGTGCATTAATATTGATCTCTAAAGTCTTATCAATTCACAAATTATTGATTATTTTTATGCAAAATCACTATGGCAGTCTTTTATAACATGGTTATCAAAAATGTAATGTCATAGTGTAAGAATGGAGGATTTTAATAATTGTTGATCCTATTTTTAGGACATTCTTATCCTCCTCGTAGCATATTAATAATAATTTGTAGATCCAATTGGAAAACTGAAATCTAATACATTTATGAACTATATCATCTATTTAGTATAATATTAAGAACAATTTTGATTTTAGATTCTTTTTATTAAAATATTCAATAATTCAAATATATGTAAATTAATTGTGATTTCGATATAAAATTTCTTATTGGAATTTTATATAAATAACAAATTTGATATTTTTAATTAATTAATCAAAAATACAATATTATGGTATGACAATATTAATGAAAATTTATCATTATTTTCAGTGCTTAGAATCCATAAACTTTTTAACCTCCTTGGATGTAAAATTAAGAGCAGCCCTTGAGAATTAATTACCATTTGATTTTCAAAAATTCTATTAATAACTTATGTACCCTATTACTCATTTGAAGATTTACATTCTAATTTAAGTAACCCATTTTTCCTTTAACCGGTGGTGTTGAGATTAACTCAATAGATTTTCTCACTACTCATAATTTATTTCAGTCTCTTCTGATAATCAAAAAATATCTTCCTGAAATTATAATCCATACATGCCTTAAATCAAAAGAATTCTTAATTAATAAAATAATGATCGAATACTTTTTCAAACAATTATCAAATTTTCAACGCTTTATGCATAATTTAATCTATATAATTTTATAAATGACAAAGAAGTGATTTTGATTATAGGAAACCTTGTAGAAATTATGTCCGGTAATCTTAGAATGGGTCTTAAAGTATGTTGTTACTATGGGGTTCCCATTAATTGAGGGAGGATGAGGTAGAATTTTATGGAATTTTAGGCAATACATATTATTTCTTTTATATATATATTTTGAATGGTCTTTAATAAAGAAATTGGAAATGTAGAATGGCCTAATCAATCATAAGACGAGATTTATTCATCTGCGAATTGCTCTTATTGAATAATAAATTAATTATAAAATTGATATTTACCATATCTATTGCTTAGACATAAAAGCAAGGGAACTTCATAACAAGATGGGGAAACCCTTGTTCACACTGAGTTCAATTAGCATTTAAGAATCAGAGTTCATAAAATATACTTGTGATTCATAAAATCAAGGATTATCTATTGTATTGATATATTTTATTAATTTAATAGAAATAGATTATGAATCAAAATTCTTAAATGCTTGGAAAATTCTACTAATTCCAATCAGGGTTTTCAAATATTATTACAAAATTACAAGACCAAGCTAAAAAATACAATAATTGCTACAATATAGCAAATAAGGAAATAAAGGATTATTATAATACATTACAAAAGTAAGCAAGTAAAATTGACTAATAACAACTAACAAATAACAAGAGCAAGTGTGACAATTCTTTGGAAGCTTTGTAAAAATAATATTATGGATTGAATGAATAAATGAATAATTTCAATTAAGAAGTGCTGCTATATTAATTATTGCAAGTTGAATTTGATAACTATTGCTTATCAATGGAATAGTAATAGTAAAGGCAAAATGAATTAAAGCCCTTTTAGTATTACCCCTAGCTATAAACTTCTTCTATTAATTTTGGGCTTGTGAATGAATTGAACAATGAATTGTAATCAATAGTAGGTTAGTAGAATTAAAAGTTTAAGGAAAATGAGCAAATATTCAAATTCGTTACTGATCTAACATCTTTTATTTAATAGTAAACTGAGATGCGTGAAGAAGAATAGAGGAAAATCAAAGAATAAATGGAAGAACAACAAAGGTAATAATTGGAGATTTAAAAACAAAATGAAGAACTTGATTCGGAAAATCATATTGATACTGATTAAAATGAAAATGATGAAAATCTTTCTGAAGCAGAAGATTTAGTATAATCATGTTAAGAATGTGGATAAACAATCAAGTGTAATCATTTCTTAACAAAGTGTTTGCATTATTATCATGAAGAATGCATACTCCAAAAAGTAAAGGCAAATTATCAATAAACAAGCATTTATTGTTCTTGCAATACTTTGATTAATTCAAGAATGATCAAGGGTGTGTTGGAACAATGTAAGGAAGATCAAAATTAAATCACTTTTGAGATCTTCTAACAATTTCAAATCAAATTATTATTAAAGAAAAGTAATTGCAATTATACAGAATGTAAATGTGGGTTCTTTTATATATCTGAAAAGTCAGAAAAATTAGATAAGTGTGAAAATTGTGAAAACAAAGAAAGTGAATAAAAAGAAAGTGAAAATTGAATTTTATTATATACAATTTAATAGTATTTAATCTATAGATTCTTAAAATGTATGAGGCAGTATTCTTATCAAAATTTAAATGAGACAGTGCTGTATTTATTATCATAATAAAGTGATACATTTCTTTGATAATATGAATCTGGACCATATGATGGATGAATGTGTTTTAATTGATTAAATTTTGTGCATGAGATAGAAAGTTTTAATTAAAATCATGAGGTTTGGCTTTGGATCAGGATTTTTAGAATTAAGTTTTGAAACTATTTTTTAGAATATTAATAAAACTTTAATATTTAATGGATAATTAGTACAATCCATTTTATAACAATTCTTTGGAAGCTAATAGAAAGACTAATTTCTTAGCATCAAATGGAAAAAGAGTAGTATAAGAACAAAAGGAACAAGTATGTCATATAAAATATTGAATCCTTTAGATACTGCTAAAGGAAGAAAAACAGAAGTAAGAGAAGGCCCAATAAATTCAGTATGAAAGAAAATTGCTGAATCAAGAGCCGGTGCCTGTTTATTTGTAAAGGGATGATCGGTAATAAAAGATAACTGCTTCGGAGAGGAAAGAAATTATAAGGAATTTAGAGAATGATGCCATTAAAAATTCAGATGGAGGATTCTTTGCCAAGGTTTTTTAGTATAAGGATAACAAAGACTAATAGAAATTACAATAAAAATAAGCTTACATTGAAGAAATATAAAAATAAATTGATGAGAAGAAAAGAAAGAAGGAAGAAGAGAGATAGAGAAAGATGGAAGAGGATCGACAATACGAAGAGAGAATCATAAAGGAAAGAGAGGGGATGAATTAAAATTCAGTGATTAAGGACGAGGATAAAAAATAAATAATCAAAACAGTAAAAAATAGGCATCTGTTGTAATAGTACGATGAATCTAAAATGATATTTAATGAGTTTGATGAATAATAGACTAATTTGACAAACAATAATATTGTTCCTAACTATTTGAAAGAAAACATAAAGGATGTGGATGATAAATTTGAATAGGACTTGAAGAATAAGACTAATCCACATACGCCGTTTACAAAGTTGTAATCCCAAAGAACCTTACAGGATTAGAATCCCATCAATATTACCTATAATCATCCTAATACAGCTGGAAATGCACAAAACAATAGGTCATTTAGAAACAACTCTCAACACAATAACTATTAATAGAATAACTAACAATTACAAATGCAATATGAATAATAATAGATGTAGTAGCAGTATCTACTCTAATAACAATATTATCTTTAACAACAATAGTAGTTTTAGAATTTCTAATAACCCTAACAGTATCACTAATTTGAACAAAAGCCAATAATTCCTCAATTGATGGAGAGATTCCAAAGAGAATTTGAAGATCTAAAAATGATGAATAGAATTAAGAGTAAGGAGTAGGAAGAAGGGATTGATAAATTGAGAGAACAGATTGAGATGCAATCTTAAATGTGGAATGATGATCTAAGAAAGTTAAGGGCTGAAGTTCAAATTAGTGCAGAATAAAAGAATAAAGCATTTTATGAGTTAGAACATTTGAAGGGATAGCTAAAGAGATAGGAATTATTCGAAGAAGCACAATATAATAATGCACATCAACAAGCTAAATAGAGTGATGCTTGGCGTAAGCAGGACAAGAAGTTGGTTACTGAAAATGAGTATTAGAGAAGTTAAAACTAAAGTAGACAATAGAAGTTTGAGGAAAATTTTAATTTTTATAATTCATTTGAATAAGAGGAATGAATTAAGTTATTTACTAAGTAAATATTATAATTTAATGTCCTATAATATTAATCAAAATCAATATGACCATTCAACAAACATGAACCTACCACCCGATTCATCCAGCAATTTCAATAAGGCCTAATTTTTGGATTCCAAGAGTCAACCCTTCTAAATATATAATTCAAATGCTTCCTTAAGGAATTAACCAAATTGTATATGTTATATAATATTTTATAGAGGAGTTGAATTATTCTTAATAGCTAAATAAAAATCAACAATCATCTTGGGTGCAATCTGGACAATTGGACATTCAAGGTGGTACTCACTTGCAAAGCCAATTTATTAATAGTCGGTATGATATCAATTTACTCTAATTAAGACCTTTTCAGGGAAATAAAGAGCTCTAAGTATAACAAAGATCAAATCTACAAAATTCTAATTCTCATGTAATGACTACTGAAAATTGGACAGAAAGCGATTATGCTAAGCAATTCGAAGAATGGAGAGCCTTAATCTAATAACATTAAGACTTTATAAACTAGTTGGAGAATGATAGATCATAAATTTCAATGTCCAATGTCATCTTGGAAGAAATATTGAATATCAAAACGAATATCTTAAACAATTCATTTGTAACCAAAGTATCCGAGTATGAGGATATCGTTAAACCATAAGCATATTAAATGGCAATGAAGAATGAAGAATTGTAGAAATCATTAGAGATTCTTAAATAAACTAATTAAACGCCCATTAATAAATATGCTACTCTATAAAATGAGCCAGCATCATCTAAGTTGAATACTCTAAATTTCAATCAATAATTTAACAATGTTAAGTTGGAGATACAAAATTAAATCAATCTGATTAATACTTTACTTTAATAGATAGGAGCCTAGAAGAGCTATATTGAACCATAAGATAATTATCAATAGATATTAGAAAATGCACACAACTCCTTATTGCAATATGTTAGAGAAAGAATGACCTCATCAATTAATTAATTGTTGTTTATTCATGAGAGGGAAGTATTCAATTTAGAGAGATAAATTCATTCCCAGATTCAAGAACCTGACACTCTCAGTATTACAGTTCTAACAGAGAAACTAATGATGATTGAAGCCTAATTGGAAAAGTTCTAGGAAAAGAAATTAGAATTAAGGGACTTTAAGGAAAGATTGACTCAACTAATAACAAGAAATATTGATATATTCTCAGAGTATTTTGATGATGTGGTCACTTTACATAAATAATTTAAAATGTTTTATCAAGAAATTAAGTAAATCTAATAGATTCCCAATTAGCCAATCTTATAGAATATGCAAATTAAGATTAAGTAGTAATTATAACTTGCAGCAAAGAAGGTTTGGTTGGAAATCAAAAAATTATATTTCAATGGAAGCAAGATTAAAGAGTTTAATGAGGAAGAGAAATTTCAAAAGTTTAGTTCATAAAATATTGTAGCATAAGTTCAATACATCCGATCATTTATGAAACAATTACAAACAGATTATATTAGAAAAGGTAATTAAGTTCCTTTAGAAGAATCTAAAAAATTAAAACAATAAATTTATAAGGCAGAATGTGATTATAGTGAAACAAATTAATTGAGATTGTAAATATCTGAATTAGAGCAATAAGAGTTTATTGGATATCGAAATTACATAATCTCATAATTAAGACCTAAATTTTTTATTGATTTTAGTGAATTATATGCCAAAGACTTTTACGATATCATTCATTTCTAATATGCTGACACCAATATTTTAGAATCCATCAAGAAATTACTCTAATTTAAATTTCCAAGCTTTGATTGGAGTGAAAATATTGAAGATGAAAAGTAGAGAATCGAAATAGTGGTACAAAGATATTAGGAAGTAACTGCCAAACTCTAAAATTTAGGGGAATCATATCCAAGTGAGACCAAATTTATTAAACAATTAAGCAATTGGAAGGCAGAACTGTTTAAATGCATCAACATTTTGAAACAGTACCTGCTTATAAAGGAAGAACTAAAAGGTCAATTAATAACACTTTTGAAATGGCCTCAAATTACATCGGATCTCTAAAAAATCAATTAATTTAGCGTGCATTGTGAATAAATTAGTAGACAAGCAAATCAGTATTTCTAAGCCATCGAATAGTTACAATAATTGTAATTGATTTAAAACTTAGAATCCTTATTTAAACAATAGATTCCAAAAGTAAAAGAGTATTTAATTGAACAATGCAATTTTCTTACTTAGAGAGAGTTCTCTCCAATAATCAATGAATAAATACAGATAGTCTATTAATATTTATATGTATGTATGGAATGCTTAAATTATGATATTGATGAGATATTTTGTGCAACAACTACATATTAAGAATTCGAGAATACTTTGACTGGTTCCACTAAGTTACAAGAATTAAAGAATGTCATGGATGGCAATATTCATAATTCTGCTTTGAGATACAAACTATTTGAAATTATTGATAAATTCATGAAAGAAAAAATCATTCTTGACTTTAATAATTTATTCGAATTAAAATTGTAGCAGAGCAGACAATCTACAAATGATTTCAATCCAAAAGAATTAGCAAAAAGAACAGACTTAAAATTTCCTATCAATAGACCTGATATTTACGATAATTACTATTGCAAATAGAATATGGATAAAATTAACTAAATAATAGACTAGCCAGATCTTAGGGCAATATTCCAATAATTCAGAGAATTGTTACATAATATTATTGCTGTTATCGATTAAGATAATTCAGTGGCAGATATCAATGTTAATCAAATAACTATTATTGAATTAGCCTGCATCTTTGCATAATAGTTGCATGTTCAAAATGATTTAACCAATATCCAACCTTTAATCAGATTTCATTAACAATTGTGTAAGTTTCCAAACACAAAAAGATTTCAAAATCAACTCATTAACTTAGGAATTGTATTCCCAATTGAATATAGTAAATATTTAGAAGCCTGTCGAAGAAGAGTTTAGAAGTTGGCTCAAAATATTTGCATAGAGTTTGAATCCTCAGATTTTGAAGAAATTTCTTAAGCCAAATTGTGTTTAAACAACAATGAATACGTATTGAGATAAATTGATTTTCCATTACTATATATGGATGCAAAGTCATTGATTTTGGAGTATCAGCCATTAACCTTTAATTGCAGTCTAAATGTTAAAATAAATGGGAAATTGTTAAAGTAAGGTTAGACTATTCAAATATGATGTATTATTTATTATATATCATTTTTTACAACATCCCACACCAAGCCATTCACGTTTATACGGTAACAAATATCATTACTGCATACTTAATATCATTATCGCTAATTGTGAAGTTCTATCTGCTTCTAAAGTTTATATTTTCAAGTCTTTAACAATCTCTGATGAATGATTTATTCAATCAAAATTCTAACTTAATTCATTAAAATCTTGAGTGGCATCTGAATCAAAACCATTTTACAATAATGTAGGATCTCCTAGAAGTTCGTTGATATATGGGGAGGGATAATATAAAATTCCGTCTATTCATTTAATTTTATCCAATTTGTTACCATATATTTATACTTGTTACATTAATAATTTAATATAAATTCGAATAAATACAACTTTATTATAGACAACATTATAATTATTTTAATAGATGTTAAATTTGATAATAACTTTATAATATATTTAGTTAAAAAGACTTATAATACTCTTTAGAGGGTTATGTTGATAACTATAATATACTTTGAGTTGAATCTTTATTTTATTGGAAGAAATTTATTCATAGTTTTGACAAAGTACTCTATTCAGCAACCATAGTAATTATATAAAAGAAGATTATCATAAATAATTTAAAAAAAAATTAGGTATTTATAAAACTAAACACATAGGTTCATAATATTTCTGAATGAATACATGTAACAACTGTAGCTAAATTTCTTAATTATAATAAAATTAGTTGAATAACTGTTTATTTTATCTAAAACTAATTCTTAATGTTTTTATTAATCTGAATCAAGACCTTTTTATCTATTAAATCAAATAGGATTATTTATAGCCATAAATCGTTGTAATTTAAGATTATTTCTGATTGATTTATATAACGAATTTATCATGTAAGCAATTTGAGTCATATGATATATTTGTTCAACTATATATGTCAATCTTTTTGAACAAGTCCTTTTTATTCTTTCAATTATTACTTCTACATACAATTTAGTAAATTAATTTAGTAATTTAAATATAATTTAACTTATTACTATTAATTTGAACATTTAGATAACGGTCATCCCAAAATGCTTTTACTAATACTCATTTAGTTAATGGATTAATTTAGATGGGGTAGGGATAATGCGATTCGTTAAGGATTAGATTTTCAAATTTTGTTTAATCATAATGTTTCATATTTAAATAAATTATTAATATAATTATAAAAATGGCTTAATCTTCCATAAGATAAAAATATTAAACACTGCCAATACAATAAACCTCTTAAGAAGAATATTCTAAGTCATCTACTAAAGATTCAGACTATTTTCTAAAGCAATTAACAGTGCCATTAAAAATAAAATTAAATGCCTATAAGCCAATTGCTAAAAATTTATTTTCTAAATCACTCTATAAATAACAATATACAGATTGTAAAAGTGAAAGGGTCAGACCCATAATTTAAGACTAAAATATGTACATTTTAAATACTTTGGAACTGGATGATGAGAGCGTGTACAGAAGATCGTATAGATCTAGAACATTTGATGAGAAAACTGAGCCAATCAAGCCTTTCAATGTAAATATTTCATGCACTTTGCCTATGAGAGGGGCTAAAAGTGTGTATTAATGCAATTTTACCCAGAAGGAAGTTTCAGATCAGCCTAATAAAATCATAAAGCCTCAATCTAAACGGATGGTTTACAGCATTTGGGACAAGAGTATGAAAACTCAATATCAGCACCATCACACGGGAGAGAAGGGGGAGTTGACATTAAAAATCACTCCGAAATAGAATTAGCTTTTCATAATGAATTATGAAAAAACTCCTGAATCGCAATATAGATATGATTATCGAAGGAGGGTTGTGGGATATTCAGGTTAGATGAATTCAAATAAAGTTTGATTATAAGATATATGTAAATTTGATGACGTGATAAAGTTATGAGGGAAGAGTTTGTAATCAGATTATGATAAAAACTGAATAAATATATGATCACATAGCTGTTTTCTCCCATTTCTCAAAATCTTTGAATCTTACGGTAAAATCAGTATTATTTCTTCTGGCTGAAGAGAAACTCTACGGAGATTATTATAAATTAATTATACTGTAATAAAAGATTTGGCATCTTCTCCAGCATTCTCAAAAAGTTAGCAAAAGTCCTCAAATTCTAACTGAGTGAGTTGGAAATCTCCGAGGAAAGATTCTAAATCAATTTTCAACTCGAATTCCTTTTGGATGATATCGATAATAGTTTGTTTCTATACATAACCAGATCTATCAGGTTATCCTCCTAAGGCAACAAATGCATCAACTAAGAATAATTGAACTTTTCAAATACTATATTCCTAAGTGATTGTTTCTTCATCCTCTAATTGTTATTAGTAATTCTTCAATTTACAATAAAGTTCACATATTTGTTTAACATCAAGTACTTTACCATCGTAATTCTTTAATTCCTCCTTGAATTTAGCAATCATTTTTTCATTTGTCAGCAACTTCAACTCTACCTTATCAAACAACAATCAACAACCTCTCATAATATCATCAACCTCATTTTTGCTAACGTAACCAGTTCCCTTAGGATCATATCTTTTAGCTTAAGTCATAAGTTCTGTTATTTCCAATTGATTGAGATTGAAAGCACTTTTTATTTATTGTATAATATCAGATTCAAGTAACAGAGTTTTCCTTTTCATAAAATTATTTATATATTATTAAAATTGAGATATAATAGATAAACAATCCATGGTTAATGGATTTACATTTGATTCTCAAATTTTCAGATTGAAGTTATATATTTTTAAGATATACAATTATATGATAATTAAGAAATAACATACTCAAGATTATTTATATTGATAATCATATGTTTCTTCAAAGTTCTTCTTAAACATAGCTTGAATGTGCTCTACAAACAATTCGAAAGTCTGAAATTTATCTGGTTGGATTATTTCATCCACCTTTATTGACAGCTAAGTTGGTCTATTTTAATAAATGTAATTGATGAATACCCTAAAGTTGCATGAAACTTCTTCTCATTAAAGGCTTTCTCGATGCCCAAAACAATGATTATTTAAGTATCTATTTTACGATCGTAGGCATATTGAAGCATTCCAGTCTTCATCCTTCCTACTTTGTCACTCTCGTGCATTCTATGGCCTTCTGGATAGACCAATAGGTTGGGCCTTGTCGCTTTATCAAATTTGTTATCAATCCATTTAAAGAAGCTTTTTAATAATATTATATATATTACTTATTTAGATCGTTGCCTCCTCTTCTAAAAAACCAGACTGATTGTGTGAACAATTGTTGGAATAAAGCCAGCATTGGAAATGCTACTGCTACCATCCATCTTGCCAAGAAGTTTGCGCTGTATTAAGAAACCACGTCATGGATAAAGAAATCCCCTTGTGTTCTGTGATTGAATAGCAGTATTGTCTTCATTCAATAATAAACGATTACTCTCTTATTGGTTTGCACTTGTTTAGAGTTTGGCACATATCTGAATTACAGTCGTAACGTTTTGACGGCTAGTCGAGACCAAAACTCCTGTGCTCTTTTGGGTTAGAGGGTCAAAAACGAATAGATTGGGCCAACAACTGATAATATGAAGAAGATGTAAATCACAATCCCAAAAAATTTAATCATTATTTCTTTTTAAAACCATATAATTATTGATTTATGTTTGCTAATTAATAATCTAGAATCCCTCTTTTACAATTAAAATAAAATTGTTCTATAATTGACCAAATTTCCCGAGGAAATACATTCCGATATGAATTTCCCGTTTCTTACGGTCATAGATAAATGAATATTTTGGATGACCTATAATAAATTCAATGCTATTATAACCCTTCTAAAATATTCGAATATTCAATATTTTTATTTTTCAAATAAATGCTAGAACCTTCTAAAGAATTTTAAGAAAAAGCAAAGGGAAGATAAAAATTTTAGCATCAAGGGAGAACAATATATGAGTGGGATTAAACATTGGATGATATTAATATATACATAGAGCCGCCAAAGGCAGTTTTGAAAAAGTACGAGGATTAAGTGAGATAACAATTGAAACCAGGAGAGCAAATGCCCAAGTTGGACATATAAATAAAGGCTGATCGTTTGAAGGTGGGAATTAAGGGCAATCCTCCATTTATGGATGAGGCATTAGTTAAATAATGCGATTCTAGTGAGTCGTACTGGCTAGTGGAGGATGAAGAACTTCACATAATATTGCAGAAGGCATACAAGGGAGAGTTGTGGCCAAGCGTGTTCGTTGGTCATGGGAAGGTGGATCCGATGACGGAGCAGGAATTGTAGAAGAAGATGCTTTTGGAGAGGTTTTAGGAGGAACATCCTGGGTTTGATTTTTCAGGGGCTTAGGTGAATGGGATGGTGCCTGATGCGAGGTCGTTTATGGGAGGGATAAAACATAATTGAATTAAATTTTATTATGAATATATTATAAGAGTATCAATTGCAGGAGTGTTTGGGGAATGGATCTTATGGGATAGTGCACAGTGGTGTGAATGTGGAGAGTGGGAAACGAGTGGCAATCAAGATGTTGAGAGAGACGTTTGAGTCGATGGAGGAGTGTCTGAAATTGAGAGAAGTGAAGGCGTTGATGAAATTGAAGGAGCATCCGAACATCATAAAATTGCTCGACAGTATGCATAAGTGCATGTGTTAGTGCGATACGAGAACAAGCGCCTGTACTTGATCTATGAATATGTGGAGAACAATGTGTACTAGCTCTATACGTAGGATAAATTGGATGAGGAGCGAATAAAGCACATAATATTGCAATGTGCGAATGCTTTGCTCCACATCCATCACTTGGGATACTTTCATAGGTATGGTGGATTAAACTAAAAGTAAGGGACATAAAGCCGGAGAACATCTTGATTGAGAATGAATGTGTGAAATTGATAGACTTTGGCCTTTCGAGGGAAGTCAAGCCCCCCTTTACAGATTATGTATCGACTCGTTGGTACAGAGTAATGAATAAAGAGATTAAAAGGCTCCTGAGATTCTGTTGCACTCGACAAGTTACGATGCCTCGATCGATATCTTCGCCTTGGGATGTGTGACATGCGAATTGTTTTTGGGAAGACCCTTGTTCGTGGGAGCTTCTGAGTTAGAACAGTTCGATCGAATGCTACAAATATTGGGGTAAGAGAGATAACTCAAAATCTATTTTAGTACATTCAATAATTAAGATTGGAGTGAGGGAGTCAAATTGGTGAATCAATTGGGATTGAAATTGACACACCATCCTTAGAAGTTGTTGCATGTGATCAAAGCATCTCCTATGGCTTTAGATTTGATATAAGGAATGCTTAAGATGGAATCCAAAACAAAGATTTACAGCTAAACAAATCACTGAACACCTATTGTTTAAGTAGTAATAGACAACCCCAGAATTTGCACCAAGAAAACTACAGGACATTGGGTAATTAACAACAGGAGTTGAAGAAGTTTACAAATTAAAAACAATAATACTAATCGAAGAAGTGATTTTATATTATTTTGATTTATGAGATAAGTGTTTGGTACATCGAGATTTCAGAACCAACAATTCAATCCATCATAAAGTGGAGCCAAATTAGACTCCAATATGAAAATGCAATCTAATTACAAGAATGTGGAATAATATACATTAACAAAGATCAATGAAGAAAGACCACAGACACATCAAACATTTGGTCATCGTTATCAACAGCAGGATTTCGAATTCTTAAACTTGTACGAATCGACAAAACAACTTGTATCAGTTTAAATACAATATTGTGAACCTCATGAATTGGCGGCCGATTTGATTTTAAGATATAACTTAGTTGGAGATTCCACTTTGATAGAGGAATATAAAGTTGGAAGATTCCAAAATTGTTCAATTCAAAAACTCATGCTAAATTCCTAGTGAAATGAAGATGGAATTCGACTAATGAATAAATCATAATATATATATATATTTCATAAATTTGCTGCAATACTAAGTTTATTACATGTGTCTTCCAATAAACTGAGTAAGTGTTCTTCAGATTGCTCTCTGGTTCTCTTCTCCTAATCCAATTCAACTTTCACTCTATTGACTATGTCTTTCAACATCTCAAATATGGATTATTCACTCTCATCTCTGTTTCTCTTCTCCACATTGATCAGATTGCTCAACTTAACCAATTCGTCTGTTATTGATTTCATTACCTTAGAATATCACCTGAGATACTTACATTTTAATCTGCCTCATCTCTCTCATTGGCCTCCTCTCTGATGGCCTCTTAAATCTTTGGCAAATCATTTTAAAGACCCTAATGAATGCCCTCAATGGCATCCACTCTTTAGGCTGTCTCCTTTTGTACTTCTGTTCTTAGGAGTGCAGTTTTATCCTCTGTCAATCTAAGAACTTTAGCTTCTCCCTCTTTCTTGGTCTACTGTTCATTCTCAATGGCATTCTCAAACTTCTTGGTCAATGCTTGGACATCTCTATTCTTGGCTTCATTGGCTTGTTCCTTAGCCAATCTGTCATCTTCCACTTACTTGGATAATTTGCCTAACTGTTAACGAACATTTAAAATAATGTGGATACTTGATCTCGTAATCCATTTAGTTTTGTGAAGATTTGCTCCTGGAACTCATTGAATGCATCTTCTGCCTATTGAATTCGTTATTCGGCCTATTCCAATTTTTGGAATCGTTCATTCTCGACTCCAATTTGGATGGTTGACAATTTCTCAGAAATCTTTTGAATTCTTCCTGAACTTGGAGATGGTTACACATCTAAAATCCTATAACACTCACAATATTACACTGCAGATTATTTCACTCTCGACATCGGATATATATATTTTAATTATTAATTTTATTTGTCATAAATAAGTATATAAAATTATGTCAAAACAATAAATAAAAAGACTAGACAGTGACAGCGATCTTGAGGAACCAGAATCACAAGTCTACAAACAAAGTAAGACATTTAAATAAGCTATAAAGTGAAACAATTGCAGACTGTGAAGAGTATCTCCCAAATGATCACTGAGATCATCCAGGAAGAAGAACTTGATGAAGTGGAAGACAAACACAAATACATGAAGAATTTGGTTGGACGCAAACTCAGTCAATTAGACAGTCCAACTGAATCTGTCAAATCTGCACATTCTTCTAAACCATTCCAAAGTCCCAGGAAGACTCTTAAAAGAGACACCGTATTTTTCGAAAAGTCTGACTTCGACATTCTCAGTATCCGAGAATATGATTATATTGAAGTATCCCTCTCCATTTAAAACTAGATTAAAAAATGCGAACAAAGTGCTATTCATGAACAAAGTGAAATTGAAGGCAGAGCTTCAGCAAAGAAGATTGTCTCCCTACTCAAGAAACGCACAGATTACAACCCTGATCTCCAAAGTGATTGGAATGGATTGGAAGAAGTTACCACCTATTCAGCTGATACTCAAGAACCCATTGTTGATTACAGATGTCACATTGAACTACTGCCTAAAATGGAAAAAGTGGAAATCCATGTCTCCGATGGAGTCTATGCAGTGCAATAAGATGGACATTGGCTTACTAAGATGCATTCCATCAAGGAGTTCATTAAGGATCTCCTTACCTTCGTTGAAATAGCCAATGACAAGATGATTTCCGGTTGGTGTTATTCGCGCAATACGTATTTGGAGTAGAAATTCAAAATGCATTGTCTGTTTAATAGTGACAGAGAAAGTGAGGATCAAAAGCGAATAAAGAATAGGGATTTTTATAGTGTGCTTAAAATAGACACTCACGTTCATCATAGTCAAAGTATGAATGGCAAGTAATTACTTGAATTTATGAAGAAGAAATTCAGACAATGTCCTGAAGAAGTTGTCTATTTGGATGATGGTAAAGAAATGACACTCAAAGACATTTAAAAGAGATTTAAATTCAAAACTGAAGAATTAAATATCGATCTCTTGGATGTTTAAGCAGATAAATCTCTCTACAAGAGATTCGATAGATTTACTAGCAAGTACAGTCCACTTGGATAGCCACTGTTAAGAAGCATCTTTTTGAAGACTGATAATTATATCAAAGGTAAAATATATTGCTGAAATTACTTAGGATATGATTAAAAATATGGACAGACACACTTATGCCGAATGGAGAATCACCATTTATGGGAAATCTAGTAGTGAATGGAGAATAAAGGCTCAATGGCTTATTAAAAATAAACTACAGCATCCAAATATTAGGTGGATCATCCAATTGCCTAGACTTTATTCAGTGTATAGAAAGAGTGGAGAACTCAAATCATTTCAAGATATGATTGATAATATTTTTAGACCATTGTTTGAAGTCACTATCAACCCTGAAGTCGATCCAGACTTGTATCAAGCACTCTTTAGCATATCCGCCTTGGATTGTGTCGATGATGAGAATTAGCATGAGAACTTCTTTCTACAACATCTCAAAATCCAACCTATTCATTGGACGAAAGACACCAATCCACATTATGCTTATTGGATCTATTACATCTATGCCAATCTATCTAGTTTGAATCAGTTGAGACAACAAAGAGGCTTAAATACCCTTGATCTGAGACCCCATTGTGGTCTCAATGGAAATATCGATCACTTGGCTTGTGCATATTTGCTGGCCAGAGGAATCAATCATGGCATTATTTTAGAATAATCCCCTGTTCTAAAGTATTTGTATTACCTCAAATAAATTGGTATATCCATGTCTCCAATTGCCAATAACAAATTGACATGTAAATATGCTGATTCACCTTTTAACAGCTATTTCAGACAAGGACTCAATGTTTGTTTGTCCACTGACGATCCCCTTATGTTACACATAACTGATTAACCTCTTCTAGAAGAATATGCAATTGCTCAACAGATCTTTGATTTATACAATGTAGACATGGCCGAATTGGCACGTAACTCTGTTCGATGCTCTAGTTTCGAATCTATCATCAAAGAATTTTATGTTGGAACTAATTATGAGAAGATGTACAAAACTACAAGTAATGTATCACCCTTTATCCGCTAGACAACCCAGAAAGAAACAATGTCCCCTAAAGCAGATTCCTATTTAGGTAAGAAACACTTAAAGAGGAATATCAATACTTGCAAGAACTCAGCAAGTCTTAATGATATTTAATAAATATTTAATATATTATGCATTATTATAAATTTTGTTTATGTCTCCTCCTTATTTGTTGTATAAGTATATGTAGGTCATACTTAATATATTTTTAAATAGAATACTTCTATGGGGGATTTATGCATTACTGAAAGATTGTTAAGTTAAGATAATAAATTATATATATATAAATTTTATTTCAAAGTATGGAAGATTTATTGTTTTAAGTAATTATCCAAAAATCTTTCTTTCTCTAAGGCAAGATATTGCGATACCTCCTCTAAACTATATCTGGCATTTTAATTTCATCATAGATAGATTATTTTTATGGTTTCTCAATCGAAATAAAAATCGTCTTATTAATAGACTCCTTTTTAGATGTCACTCTAGAAACAGCTACATCAGTCTTGTTGGTTGTTGCGTACCTAACCTTTACTCTCTTCTAACAAGCTGAATTATAGATTTGAGCATATCTCGTATGAGTCTTATCTAGAACACTCATTTCGATTTGACTCAATTCCTTGTTGCTTTAATTGTTCATTACAGGCAACCCAATCAGATATTCACTATTATGAGCTAATGTCTCATTTGCTCTTTCAATTCTCTCATTCCTATTAAGTTACTGCGTCCTAACATACTGATTTATGTATGTTTTTGCTTCTTGACTTGGTTAATCAGATATGACTTTTTGATAGAAATCCTCATTGCTGATTTTATAGCAACTACCTTATTTTAAACATTTAACAGTGAAATATCTTTGTTTATTCAACAAACATTCGAGGTCACCAAATAATTAATAGATTCCTATTTCACTTATGGTAATGTTTTTCCATTTGTTACCTACCACCATTTTCTTCTGCAATTAAAATATTCCGTCTCTCACCAAATATATTGCAGAAGATGGGTCTCCCTCATAATAAACCAATTGATTTCTATCAAATGTTTCTATTTAACAGTTTTTGAGCAACTTATCGATCATCGCTTTTGATAATTGTCCAAATAATTGAGATTGTCTAAAGAATTCAAGTTACTCATTTGTATCCTTTAACTTAGCTTTCCTTCTGATATATTCAAAATCGCATTTGTTGATTCTTCCCAATTTTGTTTTTGTAATACTGTTTATAGTCTATATATATGGTAGATTTATCAAAGCCTCTGCTCCAAAGTAAGATTTTTTTATATTAATTTCTCCTTCAATGAGCAAATAAAAAAAATGACCGCTTTCTCCAGTTCTAATGATTTCCTACCCTTCCTCATATTCTGCATAATGAATTTTCTCTATGTATTCAGTCGAACAATTAATTCCTCCCAATTAGTTTAATCTTTTGATTCCTTGGTGAGTCAAACTAATCTACGATAAGCGTTTGGGATCGAATTCCTATTGAGATTATTTCAAAATTTCTTGCATTATTAATAAAAAAAATAAATTTCATATAAAATTTGAAATTTCTTAGAATTGCTATAATGGTATTAAAAATCGCATTCTTTGGCTATAATATCTTAATTAATTACTACGGTTTAGCAATATTTATGTCTGTTATATTCTATTAAAGATAACGAATAACATTAAAATATTTGTTGATAAGATTTCAATTCAACAATTTCGATAAGATACTCGATGGTGCTAAAAATTGGATGATCAATAAATTACACTAATTGAATTCTTATTGAATTAAATATTAACTTTGCCAGCATTTTATTAATTAGTGATTTTACAATTTCATTCACCTACCATACAATAGATTGTTATTTATTTATTTATTATTAAATTAATTGATATTAGCTTACACTATCATACTTTTGTGTTTTGTTTATGTTATGCACTTAATTAGGAAGTAAAATCTATTCTTTTTAAGACTATAAGTAAATTATTTAAATAATCTAGGAAATGAGCAAGACTTATCCAAACTAATAAAGGGAGATCCATATTAATTAAAAATGTCTTAAATATGAGTGTTTAATAGATTGTATATAGATATTTCTATTTTGTAATTGTGATGTGAATTATAGAGTTACAAAGTATAATATAATGAATTTACTCTCTATTATCAAATTATTTAACTAAATATAGAATTTATTAATTTAAACCATCGTTTTATGACAATTTTAAATTTTAAATTGCGATATAAACTATTCATAATATTATTAAATTAAAAATAAAATTTCATTGATTTATTTGTAGCCAACTTCGCAAATCTATTTGTTATCTTTCATGATTTCATGGAGCACAATATAAAATCTTGGAATCAATCAGAATATGAAGGATTTAATGATGTTATTGTGATTTTTTGGTCCATTTGAAGAGAATATAGAATATGATTTACTAAATCTTATTTAGGGAATACTCACTTAGGAACCACTGGGTTGAGACTTTACTGTTTATTACTGATATAGATATGAGATAGTGAAGAGTTATTATTTTAAAAATCTGGAGCATAGGAGTAATTTATTATAAAAATTAAAAATGAGCTCAACCAAATTTACATTGCAGAGTTATGTTAGATCTTGCACTTTAATATCAACAAATCAAAATCCAATCCGCTTAATGCTAAATCCCAACACAAAATTTAGCGATGTGGCGAAGTTGATTCAAATAGTTTGGAGATAAAGTGCCTAATAATTACGACTATTTTTGATTGATGGAACTGAAATCGAAGAAAAAGATTTGATTTCCATCAAAAAAGGTACGACTCTGTATGCTCAATTGAAAAGTGATGAGAGTGACTTGAGCAATTTGAAGTTCGAGTATGATATTATCAAAAGAGTTGGAGAAGGAGGATAAGGGGTGATATTTTTGGGAAAGCACAAAGAAACTAAAGAATTGGTGGCCATTAAGAAAATAAGCTCATCAACTTGGTAGGACTAAGACATGGAGATACTGGAATAAGAATCTCTAATCTTAAAATAGTTAGATCATAAAAATATAGTAAGACTATACGAGAAATTCGCGTATCCTAATTAGAAGGAGGTGATTATGGTGATGGAATACTTATAAGGAGGGTCGTTATTGACTCAGGCTAATTGTAATATCAAATTTAAATTCTAGCTAAATTAACAGAAGGTGAGGCTAAACACTTCTCTCGCTAAGTAGTGGAGGCTATTGCTTATTGTCATGAAAGAAAAATCATCCATTGTGATTTAAAATTAGAAAATATTATGCTATCATCCCTTTCTTGTAAAGATGTAAGAAATAATAAATATTTAATCAGATAAAAATAATTGATTTCGGAGTTTCGAATTATGCTGGATAACCTTTGGTTACAGAAAACGTAGTTGGTACTCTGTCTTATTTGGCTCCAGAAGTATTGTCGAATTCATATAAATTCATTCAACCTGGACAGGATGTATGGGCTGTAGGTTGTATAATATATGGCTTGGTCTTTGGGAAGCTGCCCTTTGATGGTAACAATCCCTCTGAAACATACAGAAATATCCTTTAATGCAATTACTAGATTACGAAGAAATCTGTGTCAAAGGAATTAATACATTTATTGAGTATAATATTTGTGGTGAATCCAAAAGAGAGAGCCAATATTTTCGATGTTCTATCTCATAATTGGTTTAGAGAGCAATTGAAAATATTCAAATTGAATTTTAGCGGAGTAAATGTTCGAATTGGAAGGTCCTCTAGCGTTGCAAAAATGTGCTCTTCACGGAAATCGTATGATGAAGATTAAGGATTGGTCATAAGTTAAAGGAAAATAGTTTTCAGTAGAAGATCGGTAACTAGATTAGATAAGGTGCCATTTGGTGCAAAAATTAAATGATTTGTTTATAATTTCTTAATTATTTGTTATGAGTATGAAGATATATATATTAATTAGTTAAATCATTCTATTTCTTCTTCCAACATTCTTATATCATTTAATTACTGGAGATTTTTGTAAATTAAGAATTGGCAGGCTAATCAACTTATCATTAATATTTACAATTATCAGATGCTATGATATCCACCTTTGGACTCAATCTCACTTAGATTTTATAGAATAGTTGATTATTGATCAATTTTTATTTGAACTCTTCTGATTTATCAAATATGATGCTGATTGTTATTAATTAGAATTCACAATTCCCTTTTGTGTCTGCTAAATGAACAAATATGGTTTTGCCACTTTGATTAAGTCTAACAAAAGTTTAAAAAAGAATGACCAAGAAGATGTTCAGTAGTTACTAATTGCTAAATCCATAAATATCCTCAAAACTATTGCTGGAAAATTCAAGTTGTATCTGTTTATAAGCCATACTGTATATGTGTATCAAATCTTTAACCATTTCAGTAATGTTGATCTATTGAATCTTCTCCTCAATATCTTGGAAACTGTTGCATTAAGTGTATTTGCCAATAAAATACATGCAATGAATTTTTAATTTATAAATATTATCAATTGTATTTTTAGAGTTGATGGCATTTTACATCAAATTCAATTGTTTCTTGAGAAAATTAATAGTCAAATTCTAATGCTAATTTATTCCTTGAATAAGAGCATCCTTCAATTTAGAAAGCTAACGAATTTTCTATTCGTGTTAATCAAACACTATTAAGAACACCTACTAACCCAAATAGAAGTCAGATAATCGAATCACTGTCTTTTTTGACTCAGAATCCTAATCAAACCTTTAAATTCGCAAAGTATGCAAGAAAATCTTTTTATAATCGCTGCAACTTCTTGTTCTGTTCAATATATACTATTCAAGATTGTCATTGCCCATTTTGTAGGATCTCAAAAAAGATCTCAGATTTTCTGAGGGAGCCTTTTCATTATCCCAAAATATCTTTTACATATCATTCTGTAACTTAAGATCAAAATTTATTCTCTCATCATCAAATGTAAACATCAAAAATGGATTCTATATTATTACTGGCAAGGTTTGTTCTAATTAAATTTATTGAGTTTACCCCATTATTTATCAGAAAACTATAATTAAAAATGAGCTCTCTAATTTTAATCATTTTAATAGATAAATAACAATATACACAGAGTAGTGATTATTATTTATATGAAATCTTAAACTATGAAAAGATCATTGACCAATCCCGAAATCAGTATTCGAGATGCAAGAAAAACCACCAATTAAATGGGGGCTTCCTAAATGCTAGAAAAGTAGAACATCGTCATGTTGAATATCATTACATTTTATCCATTTATGTAAATGCATTAAGGGTATTTATAATAATTTGCACAAACCTACAGTACACATAAAAAATTATTTGTAAATGAATAGATGCTCTTTACCTTTTCAGGTGATCCCTTAAAAGAAACACCCACTAGAAATATACTGTAACAGGCGAAACAGATTTCCCAATACATAACTTCGTTATTTCCTTGAACAATCGAAGCTATCAATCTGACTAATGCGAACAATAGTAATAATATCGACAGAATCTTTCTCATCCCAACATTTTTTATTAAGCGATCCAATTAATACGCTTATTCAATCCCAGGCATAGCAAATTATAAAGTTAACTTCTTTTTCATATATATATATATAAATTAATTTTCGAGTGTTATCACATCTGAATCAATATTTGGGAATTAATTTATATATAAATGCTAACTATTTAAATATCAAAACACAATAACTAAACAAAATCAAATAATTTCTTCTTGAATTTTGCGAATTTATTCTAAAGCTTCTTGGTTTTAATACAGAAACAGTTTTAGAGCTTAAATATTAGGAGATTGCTTACTGTTATTTATAATGTGAATCTCGAGATTAGGACAAAGCCTTCTTTGTATTTTCTTAAATAGGGGATTCTATTCCAATTCAAACTTTAACTATGAGTAGCATTCAGTTTGGATTTATATAAATATTAATTGATTATCCCTGTAATCAACACCAAATTATATGATATTTTTCAGATCTATCGATTTTAACCTAATTATCATCTAATAAATGATTAAAATAAAGGTCTGGATCAATTCCTCATTGCTCTTTATGTAAATGTCCTAAAAATCCAAAGAAACCAACTCAAAATTTTAAGTGTTATAAGCATTGCAAAACAAATAAGTAATTTATTTCATTAATTTACTCATATTAATATCTTTGAGATGAAAATCAACTTCTGCAAAGCTGTTAACCTATTTAAACTACCCAAGAAAATACATGCAATGGAGTTTTAGCTTGGAAATCTATTGTTGAATATTTTAATTAAATTTCAAGTTTGATAATTAAAATAATTATTTTTTTAAAAAACTCACAGTAATAGATTAATTTGAGTTTAAACACTCCATAAACTATTCTTGTATCGTTTAAAATTATTATTATTCCAAATGCTATCCATTAAAAGTAATCAGGTAGTATTTTTCGCCCAAAAAACATTCAGTATAATTTATATTTAAGTGATCGTTTAAATCCAAACCGGTAACATTAAAGCTCTTTGTAAAAAAATAATCAAATTTCTCCTTAAACTTAGAAATCCTTGACAAGATAAATTATTCCAATGAAATCTATTCAAAATAGTATCTCCTTAAGAAAATCCTTAGGTTTTTGGTAGGGGCATTAGAATCATCCCAAATAATCGAAGTTATTTTATTGCCGAATCTCAGATTAAATTACTAGGCTTTTTCATCAAAATTTATCAACAAGAATTAATTTTATATTAAAAATGGTAGAAATCGAACTATTGTATAATCAATTTTTGTACATAACTGATTGTCAAAGCACTGTTAACGAAAACCTTTCTTCAAAATCTAATGGTTATAATAGCAATACAAGAGAATTGCAAAATCCCCTATCAGTTAGTAAATCAAAGAATATATATTAAATCCATCTTTGACTATTGAAATCCAAATTCTAATGCCTAAACCAGCGATAACTTGGATCAAAACCATGTTAAAACCGATAAAGCCATAAACTATAATATTAAATATCATCAGCAATTGCGAATTATCATAAATCTCTTAAAAATTCTTTGTTTCGTAAACTTGAATTTACATGAAGCAAAATATAACACAAGTTATTTAAATAGCTATTTTCTTGATGAAGAGTTTTCCTTTTATCGATATGGCTATTGATAAAATAGTTTGTATCACAAAACCCCCTCCACCTATAAAATAGTAATTTTTATCTCCAAAAAGAGTTGATAAAAATCTTGTTATTGAATAAATAAACATCAGCAAGAAGATGAGTCTTTAATATTGTTTCGAGCCTTGATAGATGAATTCTCCAAATGAAGTTTAGAGGTTTTGATCTAATGGAAGATTAATTGATTTATTCATAAAGATTATTAATATTATGGCTTCGTCTTTAATCTTTTTATATAATTTTATTAGAGAAGAGGAAAATTTACTATTTTTAATTCTTAATATTTCAAAGGATTGAGAGAGATTTAAATCAAATAAGCGATAAGACAATCACTATTCATATTTTTATACTTTTTATAAAAATAAATCTTGATTATATAATTAAAGTGCATTGTAGACAATAAAAAAAGGCATATTTCTTTAAAATAGTCTAAAAATGGATTATTTTGAATTTTGGACTTCAGAATCTACAGCCAAAGCAGAGTAATTATTAAATCTCAGATTTTCTTCTCCATTTATTGAAATATATATCAATTATATTATTAAAAAGTTGAAAAAATGTAAGAAATGGCACCTATTATTTTTGTAAAATCTGTCGATCCTTTTAAACATTTCAGTGTGAAGAATAGCAAAATCACATCATTCAATGAGTAACAGGTTTCAAATCGTTTGGAACTTAAGAATAAATGGTTTTATAACAAATCACTATTATTGGTGATTAATAAAAATAGTGAAATAAAATATATAGATTAATAAAACATTTTAAAAATATAGACCATTCAGCAAATCGAGCGGTTTGATAAATTCAATTTGTTAATGAATAACATTAATTCTTATATCTACTATTAACTACTCCTATGGAATACTCAAAATTGCCTGTCTTCCTATTAAAATTGAAATCTATGTTAGAAGTACTTTTTTAGAAAGAATTCATAGGATTAATGTAATCAGCACATTATCAGTTGGAATGATTAAGGAAATAAAGTCGTCATCCATTAGATTGATGAGTTTAGGGCTTCAATTTTGCCAATCTACTTTAAGAGTACCAACTATTCCAGTTTCTAAAAGTAACATTATTATGTTGATTTACAGATAATTAAATAATTATGGATTCAAGAATTTCAGATAGTCTGCAAGACAATGCGAATTTTATAATGAGAATTGGACTCATGATTACAGAAAAATTCATTAAATAATGAGGAAGAGACATATCCAAGAAGATGTCAATTCAACATCAACATTTATGTCATCTCTGTTGCTGTTAATATCAAATTAGAAATAATTGATGGCAAATATAGAATTGATACATCAGTAATAATCTATGATAAGTTAAAACATATATAATCTCCACACAGAGTCAATGAAATAATAAGAACTAATTATTAACTTGGCTGATTAGATTTGATTTAAAATTTATTCATTTTTATTATTTGCTCTAAACCATTTATAATTATTATTTGGTTTCAATCCAGCTCATCAAAATAGGATTTATAAATAAAAATGTATATTCATTTTTAGTCCACAAAGGCTGAGCTAAAAATATTTAAGTACAAAACAAAGACAAAAATTCTTAAAGTGTGTATTATAAATTCAATGGAAAATCTTTCAAATTCATCAAGAATATGAATAAGTTTGAGATTTTCACAATGTGGATTTGCTATTTGGAATGTTGAATAGATAAAAAAATAAGTTTTCCCTCAATATTCAAGTCTGATCACATGTTAAACAAATATGAATTTAAAATAATATCTAAAATTGATGATAAAACTTATTTTATTTATTCCTTTGTGAGTGAGGAAAAATAAAAGAGAAATAAAAAGAACTTTCGATAAAAAGGAAAACTCAAATGAATTAAACTAATAATAAAGGATTAAAGTATATTTAAAGTTAGGCAATGCTAAAAAACAGACATGCAGATTTCAGTTAAATTGGAATCTTGTAAAGATAAACCAAAGACAACCCCGATGACTGCTTATTGGAGTGTGACATTCAGCGATAATTTGGGGAATTTAAATATTGTACAACGTTAAGAATGTTTTTGAGCAACTTGATGGAGATTTTTCTGATTACATCAGCATTGTTTTATGAGAATAATCTTATTTTAATAATATTGATAATATAGAGATGAGATAATCGTAATTGTATTCTATCAAAATAAAATAATTTATGAATCAACCTAACAGAACAGCCCCATCAAAAACATTACTTTTCTTATTTTTCTAAATTCTATTAATATATAAGTACTTTTGCATAATTTTTCAGCCTTTTGTGTAAATTTAGAAAAATTTAGTGCTTTTCATCAATACTAATTGTATCAAAACTTTTAAGATATTCTATAAACTCCTAATGGAGCTTCTAATTTGTTTCAAATCTTGTACTAACCTTTGTAAATCATGATC